CCTAAACAGACAGAAGCAATGCGGGGCTCACACTTGGATATCCGATCCGTATCGAAGTCTTGCGTGGCATTCATCCAAGCGTGGATCGATGTTCGGACGCTGCTAGGACGGACCCGAGTCAAGACCAACCGCTCCAACAGCTTAGAAAAACAGCACGTCAATGTGATGGGATGTCATGGGTCGATAATCGTTCCGAGCAATGGATCCTGCGCCTTTCGCGAGCGGGACGACAATACCACGATTCCGGATGGGTGGGACACAGCTGTTGACGTGACACAACACAGCGCGCGCGACAGAAACTGCATCGCCGACGAGTGGCCGAGCCGCTTGCCTCTGCCGCCGCTTGCAGGCGCAAAAGTCCGCGGAAAAAAATAATGTGCATTGACAGCTGCCGCATGTTGGACATGAGGCACTGATGCAAACGGTCTTGTTGATCGCGTTCTTTTTCCTTTGAGGGCGAGATTGGACGCCACCTTGCAAATGTTATCCTGAAGCCGGCGATGCACCCAGCGAGCTGCAACTCGAGGGTTCAAGGCCTTCACCCGCTCAACCCGATGTAGCCTCTCGGACCAATATGTCGATTTGGTAGTCCGAACAACATGGTGAAAATGATTGCATGTTGCATGCACTCCGGCATATGTGGCATCACAGCTGTCATGGTTCTGGCTCGCCAGGCAGCGTTGCGGTAAACGAGCGCGCGTCAGTCCACCAAGATGAGTTTGGTATGGGGTGGCGATACAAGGAGGGATGTGCAACAAAAACCAACAAATCACTACACAGATATTCAGCTCGGGTGGCCCGGTGGCCGGCGGGGCCACGGCCTATTGACGAAATACACGAGCGGCCCCTGCTTCAATACTTTCACATTGCGAGTGCATCAAATGATCCCAATTCGTGACATGACATCCCCGAGTGCCTTGATTGCCGAAAGTTGCACAGCGCGACTTGGCGAGCGCAATGGTGACGGCGAAATGGTCACTCGCCAGCAAGGGGCAACGCCAAGTTCATTGTTGTGGACCTCAAAATTCGGCACAAAGCCGGTCGTGCGACCACCAAAATGAGGTGGGTTCGCAAGTTCCCAACCGAAAGACCGCAACATTTACATTCAAAATTTCAACGCATGCCCGGTCAGCTGAACGAGCACTGCGCCCTTCCACTAACCCCGGAAGCCAAAGATTACCGTCACCCATCAGCACTATGCCAACGCGAGGCAGTGCATCAACAACTTTGCCAAAACGCGGGCATCGAGACCCCAGACCAGCCACGATCACTGCCTGGGTCGCGCTTTGGTCCGGGCTCCCGGCCGTCGCTGCCCAGCGCGCCTGCCCATGCTCTCTGCAACGGCCTGTGCTGGAATCGCATGAGGTCCTTGTTGAAGCGCGCTGGGACTAATCTGGGCTGTGGCCTTGCCCCTGTCGCGCCTCCACTGCCGTAGACCGTATAGTGCTGATGCGGACCCGTATTGGCAGGTGCACAAAGACATGTAGAAAAAAACATAAAAAAACGGCAATTGTCCGCTTTATTCCACGTGCAAGTTCTTGCACCCGCCAGCATCTTCACGGTTGCATGCGCTAAGCGCCCGCGTCGGCAAGCCCAGGCACATACTTTGGGTGTCCTGGCGGTGTCGCCTCGACCCGGTGCGGCGGCCCAACGTTTGCCCGCGCGCCTCCCGCACCATTCGGTTCCAGGCATCCTCCACCAGCAGCGCTTGCCAAGCATCTCCACACGGATAACAAGGCTCGGCCGCCGAAATGATTCGACAAGAAGAGAAAAATGAGCCGCATCGGGATTGTGTGAAGGGTCGCTGTTTTGGCGACATGGCGACTTTCCGCCCGTGCCAGCGATTCCGCGCTGGTTTGATGTTCTGGTGGTCGTTGCACCCGTGTCATCCTCCTTGCGATTTGCGTACTGGCGCTTTGTAGGCTTCATATATGGACCAGCGCATGTCTGACACGTTCGAAAACGTTGCTACGGCGGCCTGGTCGCAATGACTTACTCGGACGTGAAGGCGGCCACCGGCAGGCGCCGCTTCGGATTCTTCGTTTTTGCTGCAACACGTTCCTTCGCAGCCAAATTGAACTCCGTGACCACTGACTCGGAGTGTTGGCCTCAGATTTCAGACGAGGTGTGATCAGGAGAGCAGATTTCTTGTAGCATGACCTGCGTGGTACGGCGCCTCGCGGCACCCTCGCCTCGCTGGCATGTTGGGCATTGCATGCAGGTTCCTTTCAATGCACCGCATTGGGTGACCACGCCGTTGCCTGTCCTCGGTCTGGTGTTCTTCACGGGGCGGTCCGCTCGAGCGTGCAGCGGCTCGGGTTTGCCGGTGACGCTGGTGCTACAGTTGCCGCCGAAGTCCTTGTCCGAGATCTCAACCTCGATGCCTCCAGACATGACGAGCGTCGCATTGAGGTCATCGCCAATGGATTGCTGTTGTGGGGTGGCTCCCAACTTGCTGTTGGTGTCGCCACTTACTTCTGCCGGTGTGCCCTGTCGCCGTCCTGGCGGCAGTGCAGGCGTTGCCTTGGCTGAGGTTCGCCGGGCCAAGGAACGCACTTACCTTGAGTTCGCTGGTGCCCATCGGTGCCGGCTCGTTGTCCTTGGCCTCGAGGTTAAGTGGGGGTCGTTGGAATGCAGAGGCAGCCACGTTCATCCGTTTGCTTGCAAGGGCACGGTCCCGAAGCGCTGCTCCCTCGCAGCGGGCACCATGCGTTGCTGTTTTTGTCGCGAGGTGTTTTGGGTTTCTCTCTGTCGCAGCTGCGCGTTGCTTCGCGGCCAGGTTGCTGTCCCTGCCCATCTCCAACACTGCCAACCTTAACGGCGAGCCGCCTCTCCTGAGAGACTCGTCGGTGGTGCCGCCACTTGCCTCCCACTTGTCGTTAGCTTCGGCTAAGTTAGGTGGGGTGGGGTCTTGTCCTCGGTCAGGTTGCGCCCGGTAGTCTGCTGCACTGGGACCGTGCTCGGATGTTTGCAACATGGTCCGGCAAAAAAAACAATTTCGATGCTTGCCCCTGGGACACATCCTTCTAGACACACTTCACGCCCGCCGTCGCCAGCCACATGGAGTGAACGCGCATAACGCCCGGTCTTCTTGATGTTTTCATGTACTAAAGGCTGGCGGCCTTCCTCGACGATGTGTACCTCGTCCCCATGCTGCCCGACCTCCAGTGTGCATGGCTCCTTCTTGCCATGTGTGCCTCGCCTCGCGCTGACCACCTGTTGCACACCCTCTCGCCCGACCTCTCTGCCAGCTATGCGTGTGGCCACGACGACGCTGTGTGGCGATGCTTGCTCGCGCTGCTGGGCGAAGAGGACGACGCGGACCCCGAGGTCGCTGCTGCACGCCGCCTTGCCATGCTGCCCTCGCGCTATTGCGCGGCTTGTGTTTGCAGTGCGCGGCTGCCTGGGCTGACACCCTGCCTGTCCTGCGCGCTCGCCGGCCCGACGCCGCAGCCCGATGCATTGCCGAACTGGCCCAATGTCTCGCTTCGGATGCGGCGTCCCTGCGCGCTGCTGAGGAGGCCGGCAGCGTGCTCGACCGCACCAGCTTGATCGGCCGCCCGTGTTGGAACGACCTGCTCAACAACCTGCGCCCCGCACAATGCGATCTGCCCGAGCCTGGCGAGCGTTGACATACCCACTTCCGCGAAACCGAGTTGCTACCCGCTCTGCCAGCCCCTGCCGAGTCCATGCTCCGCTCGCAGTCGGGGCCGCATGCCGCCGATTGGCTGAGCGCCACCCCGTGCGCGCCTTGCGGCGACGGCTGCGGCTGCCTCTGCGAGTCGCCCCACACAGACGCGGCGAACATGGCCACGGCTGTCGTGGCCTTGTCTATGCATACGGTGACCACCACCCGTACAGGCCTTCTCGCCCACAGAGCCAAGCCCCTGGAGCACGCCTGGGTGCGCGTTGCTCGTGAGGCTGTCGGACCTGCGGCCTCGGCCGTCGATACCGCCGTCTCCGTCGCCCCGACTTTGTAGCATATGGGGCTACCCCCGCTCGGAGAAGCCTTGTTGTGCTGCGACGTCACGCTTGTGTCCCCACTGACACGCGACGGGCGCCCTCAGCCTTCCGCCGCAACGCGTGACAGTGCCATGATCGCTGTCGGTGAGCGGCGCCGCAGCGCAAGTGCGCAGCGCACCCCGAGTTGCTGCGCCCAAGGCCCCAGCGCCTCCGCATCCTCGAGTGCGAAGCCAGCGGACGCTGGAGTTCTGAATCGCACCGCCTGGTCGCGCAACTTGTGCGGTTTCGCGCCCAGCGCGCTCCTGCTGCCCTGCGCGGTGCCGCTGCCCAGGGCTGGCTGTGCCGCTGGTGGTGCTTGCTCACTGTTGCTTTGCAAAGCACACTTGCTGCAACGCTGCTCGCACGCCGTACATCGCTGGGGCCATGCCTGGCTCTCAGCTCCCCGCGCTCGGGTACGTTCTGCACGACGCAGCCCCCCCCCACCCCGAGCCGCCTGCCGTAGTTCGCAGCGTGCACGGGGACCGGACTTTTTTGCGCAGTCGTAAAAGTGCGTTGAAACAAAAACGGCAGTTTTGGCTTCGCTAGTGGACGTCGGCAGAGACCTCTGTGCCCTGGAAGGGCGCTTCCATCAACGATCGTGTTGGCAATCGCATCGTCATTATCGCGCAATTTTATGCTTCACACCCTCACCGGGACGGAACAAATTGTCATGTGACCGTGCACTGATGCGACCAGTGCGGACATATGCGACCAACACAGTCTCACACGGTTCGCCCGGCCAAAAATGCAGGTCCAACGACCAGTTTCAATGCTGTTGATGGCTTTCGTTCCCAAGTAGCAAGACATAGTAACACCAAACAATGCATTCGGCATCTCGGTTCCAACAGGGTCCAGGCTTTTTTTATTTCCGATGTCTCGGAAATCCGCCGCCGCTCCGTTCGAACGAAGCGCTGGAATCGTGCTCTCGCGAATGCGCGAAAAACAAACCGTGGCCGTCGATGAACGTTGCCAGAAGTTGCTAGAAGAAACCGTTTCAGGTGCACATTGGGCCCATGACTCGATTGCACAACGGCGTGTTGAACACGTGTGCTGCTGCGGCACGATGGGAAGAGGCCGGGGTTGGCGACATTCCAGTTTAAAATGGTCCGCATGTGGGAGCCGAGTAATAATTGTCATTGTTTTGCCATCAATAATTTGTATTGTTATAGTCTTCCATGTGTGTTTGTCGTGCGCCGCCATTCGAGCCTGCAGGCTTTGCAAGCGTTGGGACAAACCCGCGGCGCGACAGAGCTGAGTTTTCTTCCGACTATCAGCGCAACTGCACGGCAGCAAGAAGCAGCTGTTGCGCAGCAGCTGTTGCAGCTCGCCGGTTGTTGGTTGATTGTTCAAAGGGTTCAGTTCCAGCATGAACTTATTGCGCTGTATGGGCGAGGACACACAGAGGACACTACATTCGCTTGGTTCCCGAGGTCCGAGATGCAACAAAGATCCTTGCAAAGGACGGCTGAAACCTTCACATCAGCCATGGGCGCGACCGACGACACGTGGGGCCGCAGCAGCAGTCATCTCGAGGCCAGCAGGCTCTGGAATGCTGTATGATGTGGTTTTGGTGGCCTTGTTCAGGTTCCGCTGGCTGGTTTGATATGAGGACATATATATATATATACATACATATATATATATACATACATACATACAGTAATCCGTTATGTGACTGCTGTGTCATCCCAGGCGGGTTGGCCATGGGCCTTGCAGATGATGCAAGACATGGTTGGCGCCCTTACCCGTGTAGATGCCGTCGCCATGAATGTGCCGCTGAACAAGTGTGTGCGAGCACAGAGCTGGGCAATAGCATTGGGGCTTGAGCCGGGCTTGCAGATGGCATGATTTCAATTTTTTGTTAATGAACTGGCGTCTCAAGCAGATCGCGCTTCGTTGAGATCGCCAGGCCGACGCTTTCCGCACCATAGGCGTCCTCGCAACAGCCGTCACCGATGCGGCCCTCGTCATGGCACATGCTGCTAGATTGGATTTCGTGAACACGCTTTGCAGACAGAATCTTCCAGCATGGCCATGTCGACCGGACACACACGAGACAGACCCAAACAACCCCAACGATGCCCAGGCTGTGTCAGATCTGTGGCAACGTTCGGTGACGCGAATGGGCTCTGTCAAGCACCGCTCCGTGGTCACGCTGAACCCATTGCTCGATGCCTGCGCACCTTTGCGAATGTCATTAGGGGCTTGAGAAGTACAGTCGCTGGCACTTCTTTCAATGCTTGCACCAAATATGTGCGAAACTATGCCATAGCACATGATAGAATGACCCGCTGCCGAGGGACGTGGAGCTTGGGAGGCCAGGCAACGGTTTCAGAAAATTGGAGGTTCCGGATTCAAAAGCTTCGGCACGAGCCCGGTAAATTTTGGGGTTCGTCTGGAGGCTTCACGGGTTCTTGATTGGTGAAATTGCGGATGCAGAAAGGTGCTAGTGCCGAGGGCACGGCAGTGAAAGGTATGAAGGGCCCGAGTGTTACTCAGTAGTGTTATTTGTTCCAGGATCGAAGCTCGAATTTTCCATGTAGTTGTTGTCATATAAGCCGCTACCGTAGTTTGCTTATTATGTTTGTACAAGCCGGTACCAGTACATGAGGCATATGGCTGCAGGGCCCGGGCTTTGGGAGGGGGAGGTGGTGTGGTTCCATCATCGCATGTTCTCTAATTACGGGTCGGGCCTTTTGTTCTCGACTCGTTTTGGAGGCCAAGTTTGAGCTGCTAAGATGCACGGTAATCAGGACACTGGCAAGTGCTCCACCCATATTCGTGGTGACATCATGCACCCCCTACATCCTATGGCTGGGCGGTTTGCGGTAAATCTGAGCTCCAGTTGTTCGGCATTCGTGCGCTGTGCTCGTCGTAGGTGCGTGTTTTTGTGTTTGTTGGCTTGTGCTTGTTGCCCTGCCAGCAGCCGTAGGGCGCCGCTGCACCGGGACCGCGTGAACGGACAGCGAACAAAATCACATTCCCATCATGACAACACTTCGTACTTCCTCGCAGATCCAAACAGTAACACATATCCTAAATCTTAAACAATAAACCCTAAAGTTGTGTTGGGCAAAGTGCGGATTCTGCCGACCTTACTGTAACTGCTAAGCGGAAAAAGGTGCTCAAGAAAAAATTGTGTTGAGGTCCTTGCGTGCTTTAAAGCTCTTCTATTGGTTTTCCACCTTCCCACGCACGCGGAAGGTGGCCTTGGGGAGCTGCCAAGCCGCTTGCTGTCAACATACTAGAGGGTTTATAAGGTTCCCCTGGAGGTTTCCTAAAAGGGGTTAATAAGGGATCTATAGGGTTCCGGGTTTCGGATAGGTGCTTAAAGAATTACTATTTTGGAGGTTCCTTATTTTCAGATATAGTGTAATTGAACCCAAAGCTTTATTCTAATCATTAAGGCCCCTATATTAGGGGCTTCCATAGCGCGAGGTGTTCCGTTTTTTTCACGGATCCTGAGGGTGGTGCTCCGTCCCGAGGCGGTGCACCAGCAAATGACACTACGCGGGTCTTTAAAGATGACGTACGGAACGGGCTCCGATCATATAGGTTCCATGCGCATTTTTGTAAGGGTTCCATCAAAAGGAGTTTTGATATCGGGCGACTCAGGATTTTCAGGATTTTAGCGTGAGGGTCCTGGGATGCGAGCCTGTGCCTTGGGTGGGCGAGGCTGCCAGCTAGTCACGCCTACACAGACTCCTCGCCCGGATTGTCCAGGCTCGAGATCCTACATCTTAAACCTCAAAACTTAACCTTGGTCCGGCTGAAGGGAATCCCCCGACAAGATTTTGGGGATCTGCATCAGGGTGAAGTCAGGGTAAATCCCAAACCCTAGTACTTCTAACAGTGCATAACTGTGAACATGTCTATACCTTTGAACCATTTCTGAGACTCCTTGTTTTTGTGTTCATGGGGTAAAGCCTCCTCTTGCCTGCAGCATTAGGAAGCCGGGGCCGCTCGTATTCGGCTGGACACCATCAGCTTCTTCGTCCTCATCAGGGGGAATAGGGTTGTGTGGGGTGTCAGAACAATCAGCAGTGAGTGCGTTGGGTAGAGGGTTCAATGCGATAGGGTCAGAATCATGGTATCAAGGTTTAGGGTTTAGGGCTCAGGTTACGATTTGCTTTGTAACACAAAGCCAAAGCAATTCAGTTTTGCGAAGATCCCTACATTACTTGTAGGATCTTTTTTTTTGTTTGTTTTTTTTGTATACTGTAGGTTTTTAGGTGTTGGGAGGCTTTGGGGTTGAAATACGCCTTTTGCTCCAGGGGTTCGTTTCACATTCACAGGCCATGGGTTTTGGGGGTCAATGAGGGTCCAAGCTTGAAGGTTTCGGGTTACCCATGGTAGTTCCTTTTAAGGACTACCTTACGGAATTATAAATATGAACCCCCAAAACGAACTACTATGGGGCCCGTGCGTAAAGCAGTACGAAGGCGTCAACTCTGCCATCAGTGCTTGCGCTGCCGTGGGGAAGTGGCTCGAGGACTGCGGGACGTCCTTGTGGCAAACTTAAGAGCATGTTTCGTTGCGGGCAGTGGCTGACGGAATCAACGCAGCAGCCTGCAAGCCTGAGGACTTATGTAGATTATTGGTAAGACTTCAGTATTTCAATCTCTCTCTCTCTATATATATATTTTTTTTATTTACTTATATATATATATAGAAAGAGAGAGAGAGACCTTTTAAATTTCCATGTGCGGATTTAAACCTAACTACACCCTTTATCCTCAACCACCCCCCAATATCCACAGGCGTCCTCACTGTTGCGATGTGCCGGCTTGGAGAGTCTCCAGGCGGATGCTTGGTCCGGCGCCCGGCCTTTGGGTTTTTAGGGCTTTAGGTTGAAGGGTTTAGGCTTTGGGGACGTTTCGAATGCCTGGGAGAGAGAGAGAGAGAGAGAGAGAGAGGGATGTTTGGGTTTATGATGGATATCCCAGAGAATCCCAAGCAAATGAAAGTGTGTGTATTAAGGACGGTCGATTCGCTGATCAGTGCCGCAGGCCGGAGTTTCGCTGCTGGCATGCTGCCTGTGTTCACGCGCGGGGCGCAATCAGCCCTGAACCCATAAACCCTTCAAGCCTTAACCCCTAAACTCTAAAGCAGTGCGAGTGCCGAAATTCTAAATCGTATCGGGTTTGGCTTTGGGGGGTGAGGTTGACGGCAAGCCTTCAAGCCCCCGATCTTGCGAGACGGAAAAGGTCGTGCAACAAGACGTTTTGAACCCAAGTCCTCAAAGCATAAGCCTTAAGCCCCAAGAAAGCTCGCGTCACAAAAAGTCCAACACCCTTATATTGAGGAAGATGCTTTCAAACATGAGAATGAGGAGCCCTTTGTTGATAGATATTGTGGAAACCCCTATCAGCTACTTAATGTTGAATCCTGGAAATAGTCTAATATGGATTTGAACTGAGACATAATGTAAGCAGAGTCAAATCCCCACCGCAATTGGAATGCAAATACAGGTTCAATCAATTACATAGTCCAATTTCATTAGTGAAGGTATTTTCCTCCCCTAAATCTCCATCGTAACTCCTTTTTGGGGGCGACTTTGTGGTATCCCAAACATGAAAGTTCGGTAAACCAAAACAGGAGCTACAAGGGAGACGATGGGTATTTTTTTGGAGAGTCATGAGAAGGTACCGATCTCGTGTGGGATGTGACGGTGGATCTCCTGGTTCGTTCTCGGAATCGAGGACGCAAGCGCCCGTAAATCCTAAACCCCCTGGAAAGCCGTACCCGAAACAGGATCAAAAGTAGGTAAATAAATCGTAGCCCAACACACCAAAAGCCCACTATTACTTTGCATACTGTTGGGTTTAGGTACACCCAACTTAAAGAAGAGAGCTTCAAATCGTGAATGGAGGACCCCACGCCATCCCACGCCCCTAAACCCTGTATGTCAATGTGCCATCGGCCCAACTTCGGACGCCGGAATTGTGCGTTTCACCTTTTGCTTTATCGCACACTCAGAGGGGAGAGCCTCAAGAGCTGCGACCTCTCCAACAAATCCGGTTTAGGGTTTAGGGTTTAGGGTATCCTAAATGCCTTGAACCGTGAACCCTAAACCCGAAACCCTGAACCTGGACGTATCAAGCCCTGAATTTTGGAGGAATCGAGCCCGGGCTGGCGGGTGCAGCGGCCTCCGTGGATGCCCGGATCTATCAGATGGGGTACTTGGGTGTTCATGTTTCCTGTGAGGGTGTTCTAGGGTACTACAAGGGGCTTCGAAAGGATTCTAGGGTTTGGGAGTTTTTTGGAGGCTTCAGGGTTCCAGCGCTTTGTTGGCCCGGGATATTAGGATTCGGGGTGTTAGATTTGGGCGTTCAAGTTTAAAGCTTCGAGTGCTTTGGTTTCCTGGGGTTTGGGTTGCCGCTGTTTGGAGTATGGGGCTTGCTACAAGTACCGCAGTGGCAGCAGCAGCCGTTGCACCAAAGGCGTAGCAGCAGCAGCAGCCCGTGCACCAAAGGAGAGTGAGCCTCAACTGAGTAGTAGCAGTAGTAGTAAAAGGGCCACTACTCAGCGCTGGCTGCAGCAGAAGCCATGATGTTTCGTCGTCATGATAATGATGGTTATGTTGACGATGGGCAATGAGGCTACGCAATCTCGTTTGTCGGTCCGAGGATGCGTGCTGCCACTCCACGGACCACGGCTCCTGGGCGGCGGGGCTTCGCCTTGGCGCATGGATGCTTCTGGGCACATGTCAGAGGGACAAAAGCCCAGGGACCGGGACAGTGCGTCCATGCTGCTTCAGCTCTTTTTGTCTGTAGTGGCTCTAGTGTCCGTACTTGTGGGTGTCTTGTGCCGAGCACGGTGCTCAATGACACGCGCATCGGGGAATCGGGAGATGGGTCCTGCTATGAGTAGGAGTGCTCAGCCGGATTTCGGTGTGACTTGACCGCAAAGTGTGTTTTTCTTGCATGCGTTTGGGAAGCAGCTCTTTCTTTGTCGGAACACCTATAGAAAGCTTCAAGGACCCTCCATCAACAGCTTGGGGACACCTTGGAAAGTGACTGAACCTGAAGTCGCCAAGGCCTTAATCCTTACGCCGAGACAAGGCTGCAACCAAAGCCTCAAGCCTTTAAGCTTTATGCCCAAAGCCTCACACTTTGAAGACTTTAACCCACGAAGCCCCAAGCACTCCTGGACCCTCAGAAACCTAGAAAAAAACGCGGATTTCCTTATGTAAGCCCTTGAATAGGTAGGTTATTTGGGGGTCAGAAAAGGCCTAAACCGCCTAAATCTCCAGACCTGACATCAGGTTCTCTCAGAGACTGGAGCCGCATGCCATGAGCCAGAGCTTGTCGCCAGGTTCAAGACGTGGAATGGGGTTTAGGGTTTAGGGTTTAGGGTTTAGGGTTTTTGTGGCTGCTGTATGTGGGGGGGGGGGGGGCTTTTGGCCTCATTTAGAGAGCATGGGGTCCTGATATTCTAACATGTTAGGGATTAGCCTGGGTATAAATCCCATTATGGCTTAGACTGTGATTGATCAGCATGTTTTTCTTGTCCTGAAGCATCAGGTTACTCATGGAGTGTGAGCAGCGCGGGGCGTCTGGGCCGGAGCGCTTCCTTCTGCAAACGCAGGTGCCGCGGTTACTGGAGCTGGCGGATGAAGAAAGACCTTTAGGGCGGCTGCCGTTCCAGCTGCCCTCGGTCCCGGTTCCTCCATCTTCCTCCCTCTGTACTGAAAGTCCCTCCTTCTCCCTCCCCCTCTCCACTTGTTTCCTTGTCCTCCTCCTTCGTCTCTTCATCGCTTCCTCTGCCAAAGACTCTCCACGGTTGCGGGGTAATTAATTGGTTCGCGCTTGAGGTTTGGCGCTTCGCTTTTCTCGGGATGTGGGCTGAGGTTTCGTGGCACAGATGGTGCAGTTACGAGAGTGCACATGGCGATGACGCCCGCGGCGATGTCGCCGTGGCACCACCAACAACAGCAGCATGAGCAGCCATCCTCGATATCATGATCAGGACCATGCTCATGCACAACCCCGTGTGGATGTACCAAACCGAAACTGCGCGAGGAATGCTTACACGAATGACAACATTGCAGATGTAGCTTCAGCAGTGGCTTCTGATGTTAATGCTACATGCCATCCAGTAGATCTATGCTCTAAGTAAAGAATCCCACGCTGATGGTAATTCCAAGCCCTGCTTCTTCGCTTCTCCTCGCCACGCAGGCTCAAAGCCACCCGCCCTTCCAAAATCAGCCCTAAGCCCTGTGCGAAACCCTAAATCCTAGTGGGACCAGTTAAGCAGCAGACCTTGCCAGGCTTGTCCGAGTGTGAGTGTCAAAAAAATTTAAACGCAACCCCAAGCCATGTGTCCGAGCTGCAAGGGTGGGAGCCTCAACTAATGTTTGTTTTTCCGGTTGTTCTCCTCATTTTCAATATTGACCCTACATCTTTGGAATCAGGGCAGAACCTAGCGGCAAGACTTTCTTTGTGATTAGGTTCTCCAGAGGGGCCAGACTGCAGCGCAGGATGTTTTGTAAGTCTGTCGGATTTTGAACGGAAGGGGGGGAGGGTTGAGGGTTTGCTTGGCCCGCTGGGGCTCACTTGTCAAAGCAAGTCCCCCAAATGGAAGAATGAGGGTTTAGCAGCAGAAGCTGTGCTACATACTATATGGCTTTGGTTACAAAATTACTGCGCCCCCAAAAATTCGTATGGTGCTAAACAATTGCATGCATAGCTTTTGCCAGCGGAACCCAGAAGGAACGCTTCTTGAGACAGACCAGCGCTGGTGCAATTGCGAGTCTTTGCAGCATAAGGTACCCAAAACCACCCTCTCTCCGGGATTGGGTCAGAACAGGGTTTTGAGAGGGCTTTTGGCATATCGTAGTCGTGGGGAGTTACAGGGGCCCTTGCCGTGTTAGGCTTGCCGGGGCTCATGCCAACATGGATGGAGCAGGTGCAATACCCTTGAACCCTAAACACTACACCCCAAACCAGCACAAGACCACGAGTCGTCGTTGCATGTTCCAAGGTTGAGGTTTTCGTACCGCGACATAGTAAGTTGAACTACACTCAGACCCCAAAACCTTGAACGCAAAGGAGCCGCCGAGACTTACACAGCTTTGCAAGCAATTCCGCCATAACACTCCAGCAGTCCAGCACCTCATAGTTTAGTATTGCCCCGGGTTAAGAACCTAGCACGGAACAGTTTAGTATGGCTCCCTTCAAGGGGCCCTTAGAATCTGGCACCTTCTAGTTTACTATGGCCCCCTTGACTTAAAGGGCCCCTTAATTTTGCGCTGCTCCGCAGCCGCTTTGCTCATTCCCCCGCCGGGAGCTCCCCAAGAGCCGAGCCGCGATGCCCGGGCTCCCGGCCGTGGCGCCGACCGTGAAGCCGGACAAGCCAGAGGCTTCCGTTTCAAAGGGGCTGTTGAGGGGGTGGGTGGGTGGAGGGGGGAATGTTTTTGCGATTCGATCTGGGGGTCTAGGGAGTCGATAGGTGCTGTAGGGCACTGTAGGGATTCCATATTCTAGATGTGTTTGATTGGCATCCGGTTCTTCTCCATCTGAACACTGCCGGAAGATACAAGCCAGGGACTTGCCGAGCCCATGATATCGAACAGTCTGTTAATCTAGACGGCCTTGGGGTTTAGGGGTTTAGGGGTTTAGGGGTTTAGGGTTTAGGGTTTAGGGTTTTAGGGTTTTAGGGTCTTAGCGGTTTAGGGTTTTAGGATTCCTTAGCTTCACCGAATGACCGGAGGTTGCCATCGGAGTGGCGCGGAGCGAGGGCAGCGTGAGGCACAGGCGGAGCATCGACTCGGGTATGGAGAGCTCGGACGATGAGGAGCGCTAGCCTTCGCAATTTTGCATTAATGTAGGGATCTAAGGACTCATATATCAAGGCTTTTGGGCCCAAAGACCATACACTATAAGGCTTTTGGGCTACTTTGATGCCTAGGGTTATACGAATCCCACTATTTTGGGGGTTGCAGGCCAGGGTTACTTAATCAGGTTCCTACAGTAGGAAGTAGGATGGTTTAGGGGTTGGGGAGTAGGTGTAGAACAAACTGGTATTGCTGTTCGTACTGTCTTACTGTAACTGTGCCTTCTATCATTTTAGCATTACTATATTGGTTGCGGGTTCAATCACTACTATTAGTGCGGTGCCCACTCTTCTGGTGCCCACGCGCCTATAGATGTTCATGTGGAGACACTGAGGCCTGCATCCAATGCAGCGATTTGTTGTTTCGGGGTTGTCGTGTGTTCTAATGTGCATATGCTGATTCAGTGTAGTTAATGTGCCTAAATTGCATGCAAGGTGTGACATCAAACCATGTTGCGTGCATGTATGTCTCGGTCTCTTCTGTGTGCTTCATTTCACGTGTATTTGGCTATGTATACCTTCCGTTGCGCAAGCGAAGACAATGATCAGATGTTATTCGATACTGACGTCTGACGTTTGACACCTACTTACTAGTAATATTACGGGCCTTCTTGCTTTTCGCTGAAACCTTTAGTCCTTAGTACATCAATCTCTGGACCCTTGAAGTCCTAAGCCCTTCAGCTCCAAAATCTCCTGAAGCCCGACACCCGAAAGGTTTAGGGCTTTCACTGCGGAGGAGCGCGTCTCGTACTCCTTCCCAGGGGAGCGGATCGCCCGCTTCTCGCCGTCCTTCGCCGGCAGTCCCTACCGGGATCCGGCCACGGAGTCCAAAGCCCCGGAGTCAGATGACTCTAGGGTAAACAAGTTCAGCAACGTTGTTTGTCAGGGTTTACTGGGGTTTAGGGCCATTCTTTCATACTCCGGTCTAATCAGGATGATTTCGGGTTTGGCTTCTTGAAGCATTTTTGGTCGAAGGCTTCTTGAAGCATTTTTGTTCGAAGGCTTGACCAGGACAACTGATATAGTGCTTGGGCTTCAGACGGTTTGTGCGGTTCTGAATCCTCTGCTGACCATCTTGCAAAACAAATGTCCCCCCTGGACCCTAAACCTAAAAACCTAAACCCCCAGCCGTGCCTGCGTGAGCGAGCGTGCGTGTCGAAACCCCTAGACCCTAAACCAAAAGACCCTAAACCCTAAACCAAAAGACCTTAAAACCTAAACCAACAGACCCTAAACCCTAAACCAAAAGACCTTAAAACCTAAACCAACAGACCCTAAACCCTAAACCAACAGACCCTAAACCCTAAGCCACAAGACCCTAAGCCCTACGCCTTAAACCAGGAGAAGGGCCTCTTCTCCTTCGCCTCGAAGCTCTTTGAAATGTTGGGGGTGCCTTGGCCGTAGCCCTGAGCCGTAGGGGGGGGCTGCGAGCAGCATTACTATAGGGGCCACTAATACAGGGGCCTTCATAATAATTAGAATGGGGTTCCTTTGAAAGGGACCCTGAGGGTTACTATAAGGGGTCTATAAGGGTACTATAATATAGGGGCCTTAATAATTAGAATAGGGTTTAGGGGGCCATTATGCCATAATTATTTTCCATGAAGTTCTTTGTGGTTTGGCGTAGGGGGTTTGTGACTTCGGGTTCAGCGTCCAGGTACGCAAAGCACCTTCAAACCCCTCGTGCTTTAAAAAAACTATGCCGACCGTTGTCGAAAGACTGACTAAGCCTTAATCTGAAGGCCTTGGCCTTACAACACCAGAAGAAGACCCCGAACCTCGATGAGATCCTGCAATGCTTAGACACCGGCAGCACCCCTGTCGGGCCTTACAACTCCAACTGTCAACCGAACAGGCGCCCAGCTTAAACAGGAAGAAATAAGGTAACTATACTTGTACTACTTAGAACCCCAATTAGGGTACTTATAGCCTTGAGATTTTGAGAAGGATCGTTGAAAAGCCCAGCTTAAACAGGAGATTTTGAGAAGAATCGTTGAAAAGCCCAGCTTAAACAGTAGATTTTGAGAAGGATCCTTGAAAAGCCCAGCTTAAGCAGGAGATTCTGAGAAGGATCCTTGAAAAAGACTGACCCGAGGTTCCTCTAAGTCAGCCGGAAGCGCCCAAAGTCGAAGCGAAGGGCTTCACTCCTAGCAGCTGGTCTGCGAGGTTTTGGGTGTTTGGGGGGTTTTGGTGGGTTTTGGGGGGTTTTGGGGGGTTTGGGGGGGTTTGGGGGGTTTTGGGGCTTAGGGTTTATGGTTTGGGTTTAGGGTTTAGGGTTCAGGGGGGGCATTTAAATTAAAGGTGGGGTCCTTTGAGGGTGGGGCATTGGGTTTAGGGTTTAAAGGGTGTTTACTGTAGGTGTTTTGCTTCATGGGGCTTGGGGCCAAATCACAAGGGATCGAGATAGTTCGAAAAGAGTTCCTTCGACCTTGGCCTACTTACCGTAAACTCTAAACCCTAATCCCACAACCCTACTAAACCACATGCCTCGCCTAGATTGTCCGAGTGTGAGCACCGAAACCCTAAACCCTAAACCTCCAAACCGACTAGGTTTGCGCGGTGTGTAGTTTAGGCTCTAGGGCGAAGGTGAGGAGCTCCGGGCTTTTGGTTGAGGGTTCGGCTTCCCGGGCCTCTCTTTTCCTTTAACATGTGGTTCTGGGTAGTTCTCTAAAGCACGGTCCCTTGTCAGGTCCCGAAAATAGGAGGGCACCCTTTTTGTAAACTTTACCATGAAAAGGACCTTTGTAGAGAAGGGCCCATATGCTTGTATCGTCTGTGGCACAGGGGGTTTCAGGCTCGAAGTTTTGCGGGCGGTTCCAAGGCCCCCAATCACCCCAGTCCTCAGACTTAACATAGGCCCCAAAGAGAGGGCCTGCTTATCGTTCCCAAAAAGGTTGTACCGTGTTATTGCCCCATCTCTATGTTTTCGGCCTCCTGTATCACCAACAGGTACCCTTGAAGCCAAGGCCCTCAAAATGCCCAAACCCGAAAGGCCTAAGCCCTAAGCCGCAACGCCGAAATCCCCAAACCCTAAGCCCCTAGGCGAGACAGCCATCATTTTCGACTGGGACGATACTCTCTTCCCGACCTGGCATGCCTTGGAGGACCCTGTGGAGCTGAACCTTTAGAGGTTTAGGGATGAGGGTTTAAATAGGGTTTAGGGGTGGTAAGACGCCTCGGTTCCTGGCATATGCATAGTCCAGGTGTAAAAGGGGTGGTAAGACACTGGTCTCTTGTCTTCGCGGCGTGATGTTAAGAAAAAGATCCTGTAAGGGTTGGTATAATCAAAGTTACACTGGGGTTTCTGATACACGGCCGAAATGGGGCTTGCCGGTCTTTTTGTTATGTCACGGGCTTCTTTGCATGTGAGGTCTCAGGACATTCATTAACACCCTCGGTATCATCACTGTGCTTGTTCTCGGTCTCAAGGTGAGCAGAATACTTGATAAGCAAGGTGGTTCAACAGCGTTTGCCTAATGCTACGGGCCTGTGTGAGGGGATAGGGGCTCCCTTTTGAATTTTGGGCTTCAACCTCATGGTGCTTCCTTTGCTTTGATGGGTGTCTTTAGAGGCGTTTATCTTCAGATCTTCAGGGATTTGAAGGCTTTTTTGTGCCATAACTATGTTCTTCATCAAAGCAGGCCTTGTCAGGATTATTCTTGGGTCTTCCCGGAAAGGCGCGGACTTGTTGGAGGATTGCGGGTTGAGCGCTGGAGGCTTAGCGGGGCTGCGGGCTTCTTGTTCAGATTGATAAGGTTGAGGCTCCACTCTACGGTGTGAACGGCCAAGGAGTCACAGATTTCACAAATTTCTTCGATCTGAATCTGAGCCTCTGAACCCCCATGAACTCCAAACCACAGCCTCGAAATGCAGAAGCACCAAACCCCGCAACCCTAACCTTCAAGCCCGGAAACCCTCCCTACCCCACCAAAAGCCACGAAGGTGAAAGAGCATCGTTTGCCCGGGGACAAGGCTTTTCGCGACTCACTGGATCAGTTGCTTCGCTGCTGTGGTGGTTTGTGGCTTTGTGGACTTCAAGGTTTTATATGAGGATTTTGTAAGGGCATTCTAGAGGGTCTGAGAGCTTCAGAAGGGTTAGAGCTTATAAGGCTGTCCCTATAAGCTGTCCCTATAAGCGACGCAGAAGACCCGCAATCCCGCAACCCTTCTTCGACAAGCAGCCGTTTCGGTGGAATGATCAGCAATAGTTTCTCTGCGGCCTTCTTATAGTTCCTCTGTCGTTGTACTGCAGTAGACCGCCGAGCGTTGTTTTGATTACTAAGGTGCCCATATTGAGTTATGTGCAACTTAACCCCTCCACCTGGAAATCAACATGCATTGGTAGACTCGAGCAACGCGAAGGGCGGGGCAGGGGAACGGAAGCTGTGCCTCCGAGTTTCGCCCCGAGGATCAACCTTAGTAACTTCAATCCCCCCAAACCCTAAACCATTGGACTTAGTAGCTAAGCTTATGAATAAAGTAACCATACTTATGATTACTGATAACATGGGACTTAGTAGCTAAGCTTAGGAATAAGGTAACCATAGTCATTACTTATAACATGGGACTTAGTAGCTAAGCTTATGAACAAGGTAACCATACTTATACCTACTTATAACATGGGACTTAGTAGCTAAGCTTATGATTAAGGTACCCATACTTATATTTACTTATAACCCCAATTAAGGTCCTTATAATCTTACCGGCAACTTCAGCCAGTCCAACGCGACACGGAAGCAGCCGAGGCTAACGAACACGGTCCGCGACCTCCTGCCACTTTGACTCATGTGGGCTTCCAGGGGGTTCCCGGTTGACGGATCGAGACCTTCAGTGCTGTAGTGTAGGGGGTTGAATACTTGCTTGGTAGGAATGGTACTCTAGTCCTTAACTTATATACAATTTAACATGTCAGGAGCCAAGTAAGAATGCATTCAAACATACAGTTTTGCCTGGGATATCGTTACTTGGCTTCAAAAGGGGCTCATGGAATATGCACCTTGCGGCTTTTGCTTCAGGGCTTCTTCGGGTCGCTGATCTAGACCTTAGCGTTCAGGGTTTACAGGGTTTAGGGCTGATAGGGCTTGTATGGTTTAGGGTTCAGGGTTCAGGAATGTTGTTAGGGTTTTGGAATCCAGGACTTCTGCTTTAACGTTGATCGATTTGGAAGGTTAGGGTTCAAAGGTTTTGAAGACCACCCCATTTCAGCAAGAGAGAATTCCACAGTTCGTGACCCTCAACCCTTTCAGCCCTAAGCCCGAAGCAATATCATTTTGTAGAATAGTTCCTTAATATGCCCGTAGAAAGTTCCCTCCAACAGCAAGCCTAGTTTTATCCCGGATTTGAAGACATCTGAGGACGCAGGCGCGCGCGTGTGGCCGTGTGGCGATCGTCACACTCTCGCGGTGACTGAGCTGGGACCCAGTGGGACCCGGATCCTATTGGGTAGTTCTCTAAATTTGGGTCCCCTTTTTTAGGCTCCGGACGGAAAGCTCATCATTCTGTTCTTGCTGTTGTTCTGGTTAAGATTTTTGGGGCTTAGGTTTCACAACAAGAAGAAGAACTGTGGGGACCCTGAATGTGGGAAGAGAAAACGGTTTGGAAGCTTGCCTCGCTGTCAGGCTCGATGAGGGCTTGGGAAGCAAGGGGAAGTCAGCAAGGTTGCCAGATCTTCTTAGGATTCAGGGTTTATGGCCTAAAAGACTCGAAGGTTTACTCTAGGCGCTCATTTAGTTCCCAGCAGAGGCCTTTGCTGGCTGGATGCAAAAAACCAAAGGGTTTAGGCCAAAGACGCAACCCACAACCCCAGCTAAGCCGAAAGCCCCAGGTTGGATTTTGGGACGTTTTTCATTTTCCTTATTTGGGTTTATAAGGGATCCTATATATACACATATTTTTCAGGGTGTTTAAAGGCCAACCCAGCGCCTGCTGAGGCGACCTTGGGTGGCGGAGTCAGCAGCCGAATTCATGCCGAGCTTGAAGATTGAAGCCCTGCGCCTGGGCCTACCTCTGATTTCGGGGGCCCTAAACCCTAAACCCTAATCCGAGAACCCTAAACCCTACCTAATCCGAGAATAAGCAGGCCAGGGTGTACGAAGAGGTTCCTTCAGGCTCATCTTTCAACCCTGCGGTTTGGGGTTTCTGAGGTTGCGGGGTTTGGGGTCTCTGCTTCAGCGGAGGGTTCAGGTTCAGGGTTGACGGTTTCGGCCCGAAGATACAATCCTTCACCCTTGCACCATTGGTACCAGTATGGTACCTCATTAAGACAGGGACAGGTGTATCAGTATTTGGTGTCGTCTTGAGGCATGGGCACTGATTCGCTCAGGCCTGCGTTACCTTGTATGGCCTCTGTGTATGCTCTCCTGCAAAGTCTGGATGACACCCGGGACTGTGAGAGTCTTTAGCATCAATCAAGCACAGAAGTAGGCGGCTTCCATGCCGAAGCCTGACAGCCCTTGTTCTCAACAAGCCCGGAGCCTCGAACGCCTCCGACCAGTTCTGGCATGGTTGTGAGTTGAAAATTGCTTGAGTTGATGATGGCTTCATGGAGATTCAATGGGGATAGCTGCGGTATCTTCGGGTTATGCACCTTACACGCCGCACCTAGACTCAGAACCTTAAACCCCCGGCTTAAACATAATGCCTCAAGACGAGACCGTACGTCAGGCTTGACGAGTTGCAGATTCCTCTTATCTACTCGCGGGAGTGCGTGCCCCTTGCCACGCAGTGGCCTTGCTTTGCGTGCTTTGGGGTTTAGGTTCATAAGGTTGTTTAGGACATTCCGTGAGTTGAAACACAGGCCTGAATAGCTGTTTACAGTACGAGTATGGTCTTGATGCCCCCTTTGTAATCATAGAATACTATGACAGCCATGCGAGAGGGAAGAAATCATGGACTAGTAGCCTACACCTCAACCCGAGTGCGAGCGTCACAAAAAGAACCCAGAAGCATCGCTTTTGGGCATAGATCCGAATATGCGAAAGAGAACAATGGACCCTAAAACATCCAAAAGCCTAATGCCCTAAAACATTCAGATCTTGGGCCTCTGATAAGTGGCCGCATCGGGGGTCCGATCCCAAGCTTCGGGGTGTCTAGGGAACAGGGTTGAGGATGGAACGGTTGCTGGGGGGTCTACGGTCTTGGAGGTTTAGGGCAGGGTTTACAGTCTAGGGGTTTAGGAAAAGTTTCGGGTTTAGGGGGTTGGGAAAAGTTTAGGGTTTCGGGATTTAGGGTTGAGGGACAGGTTGCCCTTTCAGCCGAACTTCCTTCTTCTCATCCCGCAGAGCGCCGTGCCCAGGAAGAAGCACCACATGAGAAGCCCGGACGGCGAGTTCGAGGAGGGCGTTTGCCCCCTAACCATGGCCAAGGAGCCCTGCATGAGGCTTTTGTGTTTCACGTTCTGGGGCTTGGGTGTTGAGTGTAGGATTGGCATCTAGGCTTTGGTTTTTGTGTTTGTGGTTTGTGATCCAGTAACTCAGGGGCTGAGTAGGTAACCTTTAGCCTTCTGGGCTTCTAGAATTCTAGACTCCTACCATCGTTTCCAAGGATATATAACAGTTTTTTGGGCGAGGATGCCCAGCGTGGATAAGCTAAGAAGCACAGAAACTGCACCCCCAAAGAATGGCCGAGGAGCAGGCCATGAAGAAGGTCTTGAAGCGGCCGCTGGATGGAATTTGTCGAGCTTTCCCATGGGGTTTAGAGCTTTGGGTTTAGGGGTTGAGGTTCTTTACTAGGGTTTGGGGACTAGGATATCGACAGCAACGACCAATGTCAAACCGAACAGTAAGCTAATCTAGTGCTTGTTTTGCGTTGTTTCTGCCGGTGAACTTGGTTTAGGGCCTACAGTAGGGTTGAAGCCAGCGGAGGCTTTATGGAAAGAACCCCTGGAAGAATGTCCTCTCGATCGGAGATTCTGTTACCGAGAAGGATGCCATCACTGAGCTGCAGCTTCGCTTTTCTTTTTAGTTTTTGGAGTGGCAGGGATCTGGCTCGTGTCTCCTTTTCGGTGCAAGCTTTACAATGTGAGTAGTACTTCAAGATCTATTTTTTTTTTGAGGTGTTCTTGCCGATTGGGCCAAAGGATTTCAGGGCCCAGCAACGACAACCCATTACGTAATACTTCCTACACACTTGCGCAAAAAGGTATTTAAGCGCGTGCGATACGCCAAAACCCCACCCAATGATGCTTGACGGGAGCCCAAGCTTTTTGCAGGATCTTCGCCCTAGAGTAAGTTGGGCGTTTCTGCGTCTCAGAGCCGCAAAGCCCGTTTGATTGGGTGACCGTTCTTTGCGGCCCGTGATTACCCCAAACCTAGTAGACTGACTTTCAGGCACTGGGCCATCATGGGCGAAGATTCAAAGAGCTGCTGCAAGACCCTGTGCCTCAGCGGCCTTTTGGAGAAGAATCAAATTCAACACACCGTCAAGGCAACGTGTCCACACCGATGACATCCCTCTTAGTTGGCTCGACTATCAAGTGCGAGTACTATCACAAACAAGCAACACCGTGACTGATGTCGGTCAGAACCTCAACGCATGGGTGCTTGTCAAAATTAGGGTCCCTTTTTGGGTCCTGAGTCCTTATTATAGTACGGCACCTAATATTTAGGGTGCCCAAAAAAGGACGACCAAATTCTGGCAACTGCCCACATGGCTAGGCAGGTCGGGAGATTCAGGGCTTAGAGTTTAGGGTTGGGGTTTAGGGTTTAGGGTTTAGGGTTTAGGGTTCATGCCTCAAGGGGGCATTCTCGACTTCGGTCTAGTTCGCTGCTCCGCGAGATGTTCCCAAATTGGGCGCCGCAAGGCCTTCAGGGGGCCGGCAGTCTTGCTTCTGCAGGTTTTGGCAGGCTCTGAAGACAGAAATTTCGTGTGGATTCATGATGTGAAGGGCTAGGAAACAGGATGTGGGATTTATATAGAACTGGGGCGTCTAGTGGGGTTTGCCAAGGAAGATGCTTCACAACCCGACTCTTGCGCAGCTACAGATGGAGCTCACGGTGATCAAGGAGACGAAATTTGGAGCTTCCAGGTTTCGGCTTACGCTTGAAATTGGCTTGAAAGCCCAAACCGTAAAAGAAAAACCCAGACCCCAAGCCCTAAACTAAACTAAAACCCTATAAGCCCTAGACGGAAGCTACAGCCCTTGCCCATAAAACCCAGATCCAACAAGCCTTTAAGCCTTGAGCCCTCAGCCCTAGCAACCATCCCCAGCTTGACTTGATCGGTCCAGACCCTAGGGAAAATCTGAAACGTAGGTCCCCTGAATTTCAGGGCGGTATTTTGTAGGAGCCGCTTTTGAGGGATCTCTACTTGTCGTATACCCAAAGAAATCTGGATTGTGACCCGGGAAGGCAGTTTGCAGTATGTTAGGCTTTGGGATAGAGGTTGTGAAGAATTACGACTCTATGACCACACAAGAATCCGTAGGGTCCGGAAGATCCATGCATTTAGGGCTTCGGAATTGATTTTTGAGACAGCTTTGCAGTCTGAAACCCTAAACCCTAAGCCCTAAACTGCAAACTCCAAAATCTCCTAAACCGTAGAATTTCCTAAGCCAAGAAAAACCCAAACCCTACACAATAAACACCGAAATCTCCTAAACACTAGAGTCTCCTAGACCCTCAACTATAAACCCCAAAATCTCCTAAACCCGAGACCTAAACCCTATCAGCGAACGAAGGATGCCTTGCCCAACATGGCCAAGCGTGCGGAAGACTTTACCTGGGCCGTGGATGAGCAGGGCTTGATCGGGGCCTAGGGAGTCCGAGTTTCCGTCCCTGGAGGTAAGCGGTTTATGTAGGGTCTAGGGCTTCGGTAACTTGTATCCAAATTTAGGGTTTAAGGTTTAGTAACCTCAATGTCAGACACCCAAGCCTAAGAACCTCAAATCCTACACCCTGGAAAGCTTCTGCCCTGGAACAAAAAGCCCAAACCTTGAAAAGTCCGTAGCCCTAATCCGCGTCTAACCCAAAAGCTCTAAGCATCGAGAACCTCAAGCCCTAATCCCTCGAAGCTCACGCGCCCATGATCCTAGGGGCCAGATCATTTGAAGTTAAGGTTTCGGGTGTATCGGGTGCCAAGAAGTGTCATCAGGGTGCAGGGTTTGAAGAGGCTTGTAAGGTTTGTTGCGTGCTCCTAGGGTCTAGGGCCCAGGGGCTTGGGGGTTCAGGGGTAGGGCTTAATGTTAGTTAATGTTTCGGGCTTCCTGCGGTTATCAGGCTGTGCTTAAAGCGGTCAACTGTTCCAGTAATGAGCCAGCTCCGGTTTGGGGCCATTTCTGCAGGATCTGAAGAGTTTCAAGTATCTCGTGCCTTTTGTAACCACTCTGCCATGATACATTCTCAATGCACCCCCTCTTTCCACGCGAAAGCACGCCCCCCAATCGTACGTCGTACACACCTCCGGGACGACTTGTTTTAGAGCCTGCGCCCCGTTTCACCGATGCAGTTGCAAGCTGTTGACTGAAGGCCACCATCCGTCCAGGGCCGGAGATTTAAGGTCTACCTTGAACTACCGAAACCTACTTTTTTGTAGGGTCCCTTAGAATTCTATATTGGGGCCTCATAAGAAAAACCAAGTTGCAAAAATGCAGGCTACTATGGCAGTTTAAGAGTTTAAGGTAGGCCGTCTAGGAGTTCGGGAAGGAGTTTAGCTTGTCTGGTTTACGTTGTACGATCAAAGCTTCCGGTTCGGGGTAGTTTTCGGGCAGTTAGACATGAAGCAGACCTAAGCAAGACTCGCAAAGCAAGATAAAATCCGCATGAGCTGCCTCAAGAGTCTTTCAAAGCTACACTATAAACGCTGAAACTCCGCTTTCAAACGCACCAAGCTCTCTTAGAACTGAGGTTGAACCTCAAACTTGAAACCCGAAAACCTAAGGTCAAGACCCCAAAGTGCAAAGCTCCAGTAGTCGCGAGACCGACATGGCCTCTCGGTCGACAGCTTTGGCCTACCTGCATTGATTTGTAGGCCGCCTGGCATGGCGCAGTTGCACCCGCAAGCTGACTATCCTTATCATCGCTGTTGGTTTTTTATTGTTTACTGATATTTCGACTTTCTTATTGCTTTTCTGATTCGTCAGATGGAACATTCATAGATCCTGAGTTGTAGGGTCCTGCAGGAAGGAAAGAAAGATAGACAAAGGTAAGTATTGCAGTCTCGGGTTTGGGTGTGCATAATCAACACCGCCGCTATGCTGAGGTATAGGAAGGCTTCAGCTTGGAGCTTGTAGCTGTAGCTGGAGTTTGGGGATCAAATGACTGCGAATTTGATTTTGGTGCTTACATCGCGTCAGCATAGATGTTTTGAAGGGACCTTCCGGGAAACCCTTACCCCAGATCCTATAGAGAATGCGAGAGGGGAAAAATCCTATAGAGCCTAAGATCCACAGTCTCATTGCGGGAAGATCTTGCGGAGTCGGTCTTGTTTCGAACGTACAGGGGCTTGGAACTCAGGTTAAGCCCCAAACCCGAAATCTAAAACCCTGGCCCCCAAGTAGAGAAGCGTACCAAAACAAGCTTTACAGCCCAGACCCAGCACCGTGTAGGTGTCGATGGAAGTCTTCGAGCTTTTTTGAATTGAAGTCTTTCGGTCTGTATAGGCAAAGATTCGAGCTCTGTTTGGGATAGGCGTGGACGGAATGAATATACGATTTTGAAATCCTTCTTTTTCGATATTCTGAGCGTTCTGCAGGGAGTCACCTCACATCGACGGGGAGGGATTGCTGCTAGTGTTTTCAATTCTAAGGCTTGAGGCAGCTCAAGAGCCCAAACCGGAAGGAAGTGCAGAGGCCATGTCCTTCCGACTAAAGGCTTTAACATATAGGGTACCCTAAACTCTATACCTCTAAACCCAAAAGCCTTGAGCTCTAAACCTTAAATCCTAAGCCCTACAGTCAACCCCAAACGCCACAAAACGCGGGCTGCAACTCCTAGGAAATATGGCGTTTCTTTCGCCAGGGATCCTCCGAAAGGTTTCCCTGGGAATCGTTTCACACCTCTCTGGCGGGCGTCGAAGCTCGCGAGCATAGGTTTTATCGTCTTCTGGCGGTCTAGCAAGGAAGTGTTTCGTCTGGATACAAGCATGAGTTACTTGCGGCATAATTTGTGTGTCAAGTATAACACGCCTTTCACACATGCGTGTACAGGTAGCGCGTTGGGATTGTGGCAGCCATTGGGCAAAAAACTCTTTGTGCCGGTGTTGGCTCGCTCGAGCCGAGAACCGAGGACGTCCAGGGTTCCTTCCCTCAGTCCTAAACCCTACTTAGTAGTAGAGTAGGTAAGCTTTAACCTTTCTTGGGGGTACTATATAACCCCGGTTGTATCCCAAAGGTTAACCTTCATTATTATTATTATTATAGTTATTATTACTATTATTATTTATAGTGTTACTATTACTATTATTATTATTATTATTATTATTATTATTATTATTATTCGTATTATTATTACTATTATTATAGCCCCCAAGGATACTAGACAAGTAAGCCTATGTTCAAATCTTCCCGACACAAACACGCATGTCCTCGCCCTGAACCCCATGAAGTGAGTAAGCCCATGTCCGGGCTGGCCGCTTCAGTCGTCTCCGCCCCTACTTGTCCGACACTTTAGGGTTTAGGGTTTGGGTTTAGGGTTTAGGGCCTTTTAGGGTTTAGGGTTTGGGGTTTGGGTTTAGGGTTTAGGGTTTAAGGCCTTTTAGGGTTTAGGGTTTAGGGTTTGGGGTTTGGGTTTAGGGTTTAGGGTTTAGGGTTTGGTTAACACTAAACCCTAAACCCGTTTGTCAAGTCCCAACATCCTTATTGCGAGGACCCTTGAATAGGACACAAGCGCCAAGTCGAGAAGCAACGCCGATTTCGTTGTTTGCTCAGGTTGAGGGTGTCTAGGGTTTCAAGCAGCATGCCTCCTAAACCGCAGCTCCCTAAAGCCAAGCCCGACACTCCCACAAACCCTAAACCCATGATTAAACCTCAATGTCGTAAACCAAACCACTCGCAACCTCCGAATCCTTCACCCACGCCGAGGCTAAGGGGTGAAAGTCGCAAGGCCCGCGGAGAGAGTTGCTGAGCATGTGAGGCTTTGTGTCACACTTTGAGTCTAGGGTTTAGGGATCCATGGATTGTGGTATAGGAGTCTAAATGACAGTCTAAAGATGTAGGTTTGTGCTGCAAAAGGATTTAGGGTCTCGGGCTGCAGGGGGTTGGCTGGGATTTCGGGCGCTGAATTTGTAAGTTGTTGCTGAGATCGAAGCTCGGGTTAGGTCCATGGAATTAGGTGTGATGTGGGATACACGGAACAAGCAGGGCGGTGCACGTGCTTGTCTGACAGCTTTGCAAGAGAATTCGCTTCTACCGGCCGGCGTGGATCGCAGGTAAGAGCAGGAGGACATGGCGGGTTCTGCAAGGGTTCTAGATGGGTTCTGTTGATATTCTACAACGGTTTGAGAGGGTTTCTACACGACTCCATGATGCAAGTGAGCTATGCCACCAGCGCCGGCCCCATCCCTGCCTTGGCTACAGGTTTGAGGCCCTCAAAGCCCCTCAGAAGGCCTGCGCCAGAGCGCTCTGTGGCAAAGGTGGTCCCTGCCTCAGTGGCCTTTGCCTGCTGCGGCCTGCTACGACAACGAAAGCGTCGAGCTGCCAGACTCGCCTGCTCTGCGGTGCGGATGCAAGAGACACAGCACTCTCGGGCTGTGAGAAAGTGGCTGAAGAAAGTGGTTATTGGTTTGGGCTTCTGCCCTTGGGCATCCCCTGCTGACATACGCGCCTGGCCTGCACTGTGTATCTGTTTCAGCACTCTCAAGGCTAGCCCTTCCGTTTGGTTTTTCCATGAGATACATCATGTATCGCACGCAGGTCTTTCACAAGAACACATCATGTATCGTACTGCGGCATCTGCCCCTGTGCAGTAGTAGAGCCGACCTTTGCCATTAAAGCCGAATCCCGTGAGCAGTATATTATAGAGGCCTAAGTAACTAACAATTGCCAAGATTATTTCTAGGTTACTTATTAGGGCTCCTTATCACAGCTTATGTACTATCAAACTATAAGATACCCCAAAACCACATCTCAATTCTGAGAGCCCCTGTGTCAAGCTTTCTTCTGGAGCTCAGGGCAGGGCCCAGAATGCAACTCTTACTGCTTTGCTAGGTGGCAATTTGGGAAACTTTTTAATTTCCCTTGTGGTTCCTATAGAGGTACCTATTCATAAATACTTTTCAGAGCCCCAAAACTACAACCCAGTTTGGACTGTCCTAGCTGGAGGGCGCACTCGCCGACTAAGCTGGCAAAGTCTGAGAAAGAAGCGCCAGGGCATAAAGCCCGAACCTCTAAACCCTATAGGCCCTCAACCCTACATCCTGAACCTCCAAACTTTTGGGAGTGCTGACATAGGTGGGCAAAAATCGACTCCTTCCCCCGGTTCAAACACAAGCTCTCTATACCCTAAACCCTAAACCTTAAACCCTAAACCCTGGGGCTCCCCGGCTTATTATCCCAGGAGTGGTCACCAGCATGTCCAGAACGGCCAACGAGGTGCTCGCCGACTTGGCGGAGGTCTCCCGGGGTTCGAAACGATTAGGAAAAGTTAATAGGGGTTTAGGGTTTGGGGTTTAGGGTTTAGGGTTGAGGGTTTTGGATTTAGGGTTTAGGGTTTAGGGATTACTAGGACCTAGAGTAGGCCCTTATTCCTTGTTTTAGGGTTCAGGTTCCCTTATAAGCCCCTTTAAACCAAAAAGGGCACCCTTTTTATTCCTAGGTTACTCTTGGGTCTAGATTAGGAAAAGTTAAAGGGTTCTTTCAGGGTTTAGGGTCTGCTGTCCTGGCGTGACGTTGCAAACCAGGTGCAAAAGGGTCTAAGGTGGAGTCTAAGGCTGGCCTTATGGGCCTGAACAATCAAAATCGGCGTCGTTTAACGGGTTGTATTCGCATTACTAAGGCCTGGCGGCCCAACAAGTAGTGGTAGAGGTAAGTTCTTATCGAGTTCAGTGGGCCCGAAGGATGAAGGAGTTTCAGCGTTCGCGCTACGCTTCCTGATATTCTGGCCTGCTTTTTTCGTGCCCTTGCATTGCGAGACACTTGATGATGGCACGGCAGAGAGAGAGAGAGAGAGAGAGAGATTCGCATTACTACGGGCTCTGTAATCTGGGGGCCTGAGTGGACAACCAGATGAGGGTTGTTAGGGGGTTTGTTGTGCCACATCTGTGACAAGGTTTAAGGTACCCTACGGACTGTGATTATTCAGGCATCTACATTATCCACAGTAGAGCCTTGGCAGACAGGATTAAAGAGTGCATTCATAGGGTTGGGTGTAGATCCCTGATTGGTATTTCCCTTGTCAGGCTTTAGTATTAGGTAGGTATTCTCAAGGGCGGGGGGGGGGGTTATCAGTCCAGGGCTCACATCAAGAGCGATGGGGTGTGTTTCCTGTCTTCATGTAGTCTGAACAGGTTTGTGCTTCAAGGAGGTGCATGTGGTTTTCGGGCGGGATGTCCGATTCCGTGCATGATGTAGCATGCAGGGTTTGCAGGGTTTCAAGGCAAGGGCTGTGTAGGTTACCATCTAGTTCACAGAACTCTTCACACTTCAGACCTTAGGACGGAGCCCAGATCCAACGCACATCCTGATCTTAAGCACTAAGGCTTGATTGGACTCCGCAGCCTAAGCCTTTGTAGCGCCCCGACAGAAACGTTAAAGTCTTTGAGTTTCTAAGTTACGGATGACCATAAGGCCCAAACCCTAAACCCTAAACGGACTTAGTGCCTGAAGCCATGCCTGCCTTGTGCGAGTGTGTGAGTCGAAACCCTAAAAGGATGACCATAAGGCCCAAAACTTAGATAGTGAACGGGGGAACTTTAAATTTTTTGGCCTTATATATTTGCTCTATCTTAGAAAGTTTGATCTTTTTGGGGCCCGGTAGTTGAAGAAGAGAGAAAACCCACTGCAGGAGGCTGAGGAGCTCTGGCGACCGGGCTCCAGCAACTCCAAGACCACCCTTGTGGCCCCTCCGCGTGTCAAAGGCAGAGGTTGTAGGGATTGAGGGTGTAGGGATTCAGGGGTTTGGAGTTGAGGGTTTTTTTTGCAGGCCTTCGGGGTTTTGGGCTTTAGGATTTGGGGTTTAGGGGTTTAGCGGTTAGACGTTTTCGAAAGGCTCTGGGCTTGGGATTGAAGTCTTTGTAGGCGTGTGGGTTGCTTTCGGGGTTAGGGGTTTCGACGGTTCAGAAGTGTTGTTTGTTATGTCCAGAGGGGTTTCGGTAAGCCAAGTCATGAAAGGTAAACTGGGGTTATCGCCGATATGCGTTGAAGACATCCGGATGAGTGGTGCCGTGTTTAAATTTCGCAGGCTCAGATATGTACCGCTCATGGAAGACAGAAAGGTGCACAGTCAACCCTGAACCCGGGATTCTGAATTCTCGGCCCGAAGCCCCACACGCCAAGTGTTTAGGTGTCGTGCCACTGTGGAAGCAGCAGGGAAGGACTTGGAGAGCGATTTCGACTTGAGTTGATGCTGCGTTTGGTTGTATATGGGCACTTCTGGATGACGGTGATGTTTAAGTGCTGGTGATTGGTGATATGGCCATTGTTTCTGCACTGGTGCCCAGCATCATGGCATGAGTGCTTTCACGAGCCCGTCGAAACCCTTGACCCGCCAGTCAAGTCCTGGACAGCCACCCAAACCTCGACTGCACCTTGCTGAGGTCTGCCCACATGCCGCTTGGACTCAAGCCGTCAGGGAGCTAGCTTTTGCTCCGATTTTTGCGATTGCTTCCGCTGTTACTGCTATTTCTTTACACGAGGTGGAAGCCATTACACACAGGTGTAGCTGGAGACCATGCGACTTCAGGCTTTGTCAACACATGTCAACACTAAACTGCAATCCGAAAGCCGAGATGCCAAGGCTCCGGTACAGGGTTTAGGGTTTAGGGTTTATGGGCCTCCTGTACAAAACGGGTCTTTTCCAGTTACCGCAGTGCTGCCTCAGCCAGCTTCAGCCCCCGACCCTAGATGCCCTAACGGCCGGAAAACCTTAACACACCCGATGCGCAGAGATAACTTAGGGGTACTTAGAAACATTTTAATTTTTCGTTATCATAATCCCTAAGAAACAGCTAAAATAACAATTTTTGCTTGGGTTCTAAGTTCAGTATAGAAACAACCCTACAAGTCAAGATGTCAATCCCTGAAACCTCACAGCCTCACCACCCGCTGGACCAACCTGTATTGAAACCCCATACACAAGAAGAGGCGTTTAGCTTCTAACCCGTCGACGCGAAACTCTAAACCTCAAACCCCTAACCCTACAACCCCCGAAGCCCTAAACCGTAAACCCCGAAACGAAGGTCTGCCAGTCTTTGTCCGAGTGTGAGTGTCAACAGACCCAGAGGTAAAGGCCTGGGCCGAAGACTTCCGACATTTCCATGCCTTCTACACCTGGCATCTCGACGGCGGCTTTGCAATGGCGGCTCCTTGCTCAGGCTTTCAGCCCTCAAGATTTCCTCTTGTTATACAATATATGAACCTGATGAAGAGACCTTGGGCCGTTACTAGGGCTCCTCATGATGATGTCATGAAGGCTGCTGTGTTGGACCTAATGAAAAGACCGGGGTTTGTGAATCAGGTCGCTGTTGCCTATCGAAGGTCCTCGCATTTGTAGGACTTGGCGAAGCCTGTGCAGTCAAGGTCTTGTGAAGTCATGTCCAGACCCGAACGCCTGTATCCCGAAGCCTTCAGGCCCTTAAAACATCCCAAAACCATAAGCCATCAGAAGCCCCAAACCTTAAGCCATGAAAACAAAGCCTACTCCCTAGTTGGGAGTTCAGAGCCTGTTCTCGAGCCGGGGTTGGCGTGCTTCCACTGTCTGGCAGGGGTTTACTTCGTGCTATGGTCGCCCTCGCATTAGCATGTAAAGTGCTTCTATAGCGACGTCTGGAGTATCTTTACAGCAACCCTTCTATCTTCAAGTTCCTTTAAAGCTTCTGTTTATAATAAGGTCCTTTATAGAAACCCTTAGGACCATTCTAGTGAGGAATCCTCACAACAGGGATTAGGTTAGCCCAGGAGCCCATGGGCGTGAAAGTGGTGCCTTTCCACCCTCACTTCGCCATGGCGCGTGCACCGCCGAAGATGGGCGACACCATCTTCGTTCCGGGGCCCGATGGCGCACACCTGAGAGGGAGCCTTAGGGGCCTGCAAAAACGGCTTATGGTCTGGGGTTTGGTTAAAAGGTCACTTGTTGTACTGGCTTCGCATATGGGGTTTTCCGAGACTTGGGGGTACCTTATTTTGGGGCCCTTATAATAAGGATCCTACTATGTAGGGTACTGTATTAGGGTCCCCTATTTTCGGAAACTCTCATATGGGGTTGGGAGACCTCAGGTCAAAATGCCAGAGCGCTGGTCATGGACCCGGACGTGGGCAAGGACAGCACGAGGATTTCGATGCCTGCAAATTAGAAGCTGCCCCCACCCTTATTATAAGGATTATATTAGGGTTCTAGTATATTCCTATCATACCACTATTGCAGGGTGGGGGCCCCTTCTAGCCTGCAACTCGTAAGCAGGAGCCTGAATCCCTTTGGGATTGTGTGGCCTGAGCTTTCCCAAACTCTTCATCCTAAGCCCGATTGCCCGACACCCGAAGTTATCCTCAGCCGTAGGATTCGAAGCCTGAAGCCATACACCCTGAATCCCATGCCTCAGCCATTCAACATGAAAAATGCCTACGTAAGTCTTAAAGCCTCACATCCTGAACAAAACTTGAGCCCCAAATCCCCAAAGCACCAGAAGCTTAAAACCCAACATCTTAACACCCTCCTTTCCCCCCAAAATCACCAGACCTTACAGTATCCTTTGTAGAAAACCCTTTGTCGAGGAACCCTAGTCATAAACGGCCCCTCTGTACGCCCATCCCCCGGAGCTGCAAGGACGAAGCCGGAGAGTTCTGCATGGCCGTGGAGTTCGAGACCGGTGAGCAGGCGGGCTTGGAGTTTTGTGTTTTGGATTTAGGTTTTGTGGTGTTTAGGGTTTAGAGTTTATGGGGTTTAGGGTTTAGGGTCGCTGATTTCTTTGAAGTTCTGTAGGGGGTGCCGTATAGAAAGATTGGGCTTTTAGGGTTTTTGTAGGGTTCGGTGAGCAGAGTTACTTTTCAGGTTTAGGGGGAGTTTTGACATGAGGTTCTGTGCGTAGAGTACGTTTTAGGCAGACGTTTTGAGCATTTTTCGGTGATAAAGGGTGTTTCTTTAGATTTTATCAAACTGTGGTCTTGAAGGGCCACCGGTTTAGTCAGGATGTTACAGGACTTTTGATCCCCGGGGTGCTGTGATTGAGGGTATCTGGCGGACTCCCCAGTCCTGGTTGCAAACTTGATGTGAGAGATGTTAGGATGTTAGTTTGAATGCTGTCCCCATGGTTGTGTAATTACTTACAGCATACCATATCGCACTACTAAAGGCCGCTATGCTATGGGCCTGGACCCGGGAGACATTGGCCGCACTTTCCTTATAGTCATCCCACCCCCAAAAAAACACCCTCCTAGCTCTTAAGCCAGTACTGAAGGGCTCAGGGGACTTAGCAAGTAGAGTTACATGTGGGGGGGACCCTAAGCCTAAGTGGGGCTATCCTAAATATCACCTTACCTAGAACCTTACTACTAGGACCTAGAGCAGGCCCTTATTCCCTTTTTTAGGGTTCAGGTTCCCTTATAAGCCCCAAAAAAGGGCACCCTTTTTATTCCTAGGTTACTCTTGGGTCTAGACTATAAGTCCCTTGCGCCTTTAAGTAGGAGACCGGAGATTGGGGATCTGAAGCTCAGCACGAAGCCCCCTGGGAGCCGGAGGGCCTCATCCGTCACGCTTGCATGATGGCCAAGTCCAGTGAGGCCGTCTTATTCGCCTTCTCTTAGTCACTAGGGTTATAAATAAGGTAACCATATTTACAACCCCAATTAAGGTACTTATAACCTTACTTGCTAATAGAGGGTTATCCCGATGTCCTGAAGAAGGGATGTTGAAGCTGATGAGGCCTGGTTTCACGTTTACGTCGATTCAGTGCGTGTGCTTGGGGGACCTGTGATGACGAGGATGAAAGCTGTGATTCGCCTGTCACTCTAGAAACAGGGATGGGACATAGGTTCCTAGTTTTGTTGGTGAAGAGTGTTGTGTTGCAGTGAAATTCTGGTCCACGCGATGGGTTCGACTTCAATGAAAGGGTCGAGAGTTTGAAGTACTCTTTGTGTTTTGCTTTCCTCTTGATTTCTTTGGTCATGGAGCGCGCTCTTTCGGGATTCGGGATGGGCGTTCCGGGTCTGCCTTCGGATCAGGTATCGCGCCACCGCAGCCAGTCCTTCGTTCGCATACCTATTGAACATAGACGGCAACTGAATGTCCCCTCTTAGAGTGCAAAGGCCCACCCTTCAACCCTGAACTCTACACACGAGACGCTAGACATTTAGGAGCCCTTACGCAAACGAGCTCGAATCCCGAATATGGACAGTGAGCAGTCACCCTATGGAGCCCCATGAATACACCAAATCATATAGCACCCCAGAGAGCCCGATAAGGAAAAGGGCAAGCTCAACATCACATGTCTACGCATGTGTTTATATATATATATATAGACATAGATGTGTGTGTGTGTACATGGATAGATATGTAGATGTATATCAATATGTGTATATATGTATATACATGGGTGTGTACTCATATGTTTATTTGTTTAGCCCGGAGGAATCGACGGACCAAGACTTAGAAGACAATTTCACTTCACGAGCACCACGGCCGGTGCTGCATTTGCTGCGTCGCTTGGCAGACGGACCTAAGGTTCAGGGCTTGCTCTTAAGTCATAGGAGGCCAAAAGGGGTTTAGCCTATGGGGGTTTAGTAGGGATTAGGGTTCCCAGAAAAGGGTTCATATTCAGGAATCCCTACGCCAAGAATCTTGAACCCCCCTTTTTGGCCTCCCATCATTAAGGGGTCGGGCTCTAGGGACAGCAGCTTCAAGGCTTCTGGCGGGGAAAGGCTTGGGGGCTGAGCCTTACGGTTTTTGATTTGGGTGGTCCAGGGCTTCGGGCGTTGCAGATCTACTGTCAACATCATTCAGAGTTTGGGGCTGAGGAGTTCGGCTTTAGTCCAAGCCTCCACTTCAAGCACTAGAGTCCAAACCCGAAAAGATTCTGTTCAAAGTCGGAGAAGTCTTTCTGACTCCGGCAAAGACCCTTCACGGCCTCAACTTCGCACTCGAAACCAGTCTGAAGGATTATGGGTTGTACTGCGTGCTGAGGCGTAAAAGTTTCAGGTTCGAGGCAGCTGCCCGGATCGGCCGCCCGCTGAAGGTTAGCCTGAGCCCTGGGCCCTAGCCGCACATCTTAAGCTCCAATCGTCCAGGAATTCCGGACTTGGAGCGGGCAGAGAGGGAGGCAAACCAAAGGCGCGAGTTGTTGCTGCTTGAGTTTAGGTTTCGACTGAGTATGGCATCATGCGCCAGTACGGTGATCTCAGTCCTCAGGGCCACCAAAACTTCTTGGATAAGCTCAGTTCCTTGTGTGCTTTGGGATTAAAGTCGGGGCCTCCAGGGGTTTCAGAAAGTAAGGGATGCCACAGAATCCCAAATACTCGGATCCTTGTTTAATCTCCTTGTTCAGATTGTTTAATATTTTCTGTAATTGTTCTTATTGTCAGGGCAGTTTGAAAATGCAACCCCTCCCCCCATGTCGGGTGAAGAGTTGCGGGTTTGGTTGACGAGTTGACCTGCGATGTTGTGGAAGCCTTTCGTGTCGGTTTAGGGTTTAGAGTTTAGGGTTTAGGGTTTTAGGGTTTAGGGTTGAGGGTTTTAGGGTTTAGGGTTTAGGGTTTTAGGGTTTAGGGTTTCGTGTTTGCATGGCTTGAACGACTTTGATGTCTGTCGCCTTTGAGAGTTCTGCAATCTTCAGGTCTCGGTTTCGGCTTACAGTAGGAGCCCAAATGTTGGAAACCCAATAGCTTCAATCCTTAAGAGTAATGTATAGGGAATCCCAGCACTATTGGGCCCTAATCCGGTTTCCAACTTTTTGGGGTTTACTGTAGGTTTTAGGGGTTCTGGTAAGGTCTTGGAGTTAAGGTTGTGGGCTTGATGCTCTGGCTCTGCCTCCGACGGTGCAGTTTCCTCCAGCCAGGAACCTTATGTCAAACTTATGACGAGAACGTTGCATAACGTGGCAGGATTTTCGACCAGACGCCTAATCTCCCTAAATCCCAAACCTTGCACTCGAAACCCTCAACGCGCTCGTTTGCAAAGCACCCACACCCACACCTGCAGTGGGTCTTGTAGTCCATTTCCGGAGCTTCCCCGCCCTAAGGCCTGTCAGTCTTCTAAGCAAAAGGGTTTAGCGTTTCGGATTTCGGTGTCAGGGTTTCGGATTTTGTGGTTTAGGGTTTAGGGTTTAGTTGAAAGGTTTAGGACTCGCGTTCAGGGTTTAGTTTCTGGTTTATTGTTGCTGCCATCGACACGAAATTCAAATCCAAAAAGTGCCTTCGAGTTCGAATCTAAAGCATGAGGTCCTAACCTGCACCCTGCAACTCGGAACCTTCAACAACAAACCTTTTGGATTTCAGACTTGCAAGCTGCAGGATTTAGTCGGGCTGACAGCGCCAGGATCTAGAATCTAGAAGTACGTTGAGCTAACAAACCCTAGGCGACCCTTTTGCTAATGTCGAATGGTTGGCCCCAATGTGGGCTGGCATGCCTTTTGTAGTGTCATCAGTTGTCAAACCCTCGTCTGACTTGTCGAGCACGAGTGACAAAAAAAACAAACCCTATGTATTCAAAGGTTTACAACCAGAACCTGCAAGAGTAGGTTATGGTAGGTTAAGGTAGACATCTTGCGTTTCGTAGGCTGCTCAGTCGTGAGTCGTGAGATCTAAGGAACAAGGCCGTATAGCACCTTATCGCAATAAACTCTCAAACAATGTGGGATCCAATCCCTAAAGTCCGCCAGGACCCGACAACTTTACACCTCAAAGCTTTTAAAATCGTAAACTCTACATACGTTCCAACCCCTGAACCCTAAACCCTAAACCCTAAACTCTAAACCCTAAACTCTAAACCCCTAAACCCTAAACCCTAAACCCAACCCGGAACCCTGAGCCCGAAGGCCTCCTCAGGGGAAGGATGCCGACTCCGATGCCGACAGCCCGGAAGAGGGCGAAAATCCCCGCCGGGAGATCGATGAGCTGATCAGTCCGACGAAGGAGTTGGGATTAGGGTTTAGGGCCGTTTAGGGTTCAGGGTTTGGGGTTAGCGTATGCATCGCCCAGGAATAAAAAGGGTTGGGATTGTGAGAAGTTTTGGGTATCATCAGCCATCGCATGTTTCAGAGTTCAAAACCCGAAAGGACAAGAAGTCGATGGGTTATTGGGCTTCAGCATGATATGCGAAATTTACAAGAACCACAAAGGGATACTGTCGCGAAGAAGTTGGTATGAAAGAAGGGGGCCGTAACAACTAGATAGAGTAGGATCGAATCATAGAACTTTTCTGTCGGCTTTTGTAATAAGGGGTTGAGGGATTTACGGTAATTTGCTTAGCAGCCTTAACGATTAGAATACGGTTTTCGATGTATAATTTGATATTCATGTTTGTTTATTGGCCACGAGGGAATAGCAATCATTGCTGCTGTCGGGACGCACGCAGGAAAGGAAATTCCAACCTTTAGAACATTTTCCGTTAAGGGTTTGGGGTTGGGTTGAGGCTATAGCTTGCTTGACGACCCTAGCGGGGAGGCTGTCGAATCGGAGACATCAAAAGAGGGCGATTGGATAGATCTTCATGGAAGGCCTACCAACTCCTCGTTGCTACTTATAGGATTAGAATTTTTAAGATGGGTTGGAGGGGCCTGAGGTTTCCCTTAAGGTAGTCCTCCAACTTCAAGCCCGTACCCAAATTGCGAGCCCGTGAGCTCGACGGTCCCGGTATTTCTTACTTTTCTGAGCTTTAGTGCACTTCTGGTGTGCAGGGTCTGCGCAGGGTGCTTCCGAAACTCCTCATGGGCCTTGGCCTGGTTTACCTGGTTCAGGTTTACTTTAGTCTCCTTGGGATTTGTTTTGTAATTTTTGCACATATAAAACCCAAGAAAATATATTGATGTTGCTTGTATTATGGTTTTAAGGGGGGTATAGTTTAGGGTGTAGGGTTAGGGCAACTCCCACATCCCCCCTTGTCTGGATTGGAGGGCCTGGAGCAGAGGACAGAGTAATTTGGGCTCAAGATGAGACCTGAATATCCGAATAACAGGAGTGAGGTTTTACTTGAAGCTTGAGCCAGAACTGCCAAGCCTTTCAGTGGTACGTTCACGCTGAAGTGAACACCCTTCGCTTTTTTGCTAAATGTAGTGCGGTTTTGAGTGTATGGTCTAGGGTTTCGGGTTTTGCTGGGTTTCGGCTTTAAGGAACCCGAAACACTAAACCGTGAGACGTGATGCAGAGGATGTGGTGAGCCGCAATGCCACGACGACACAGACGTTGGGACCCCTGCGGCTGGCGGAGATTCTAGAGAACTGCGGATAAGAAGAGAGGAAAAGGTTGGCTTCGAGAGTGAGACTTGTAGCTACGTTGTATGGACGATATCCACGGAGATAACATGCGAGCACAGAGATCAATCTCCACATGGTATAGTCGGTGCAGATGTTCGCGCAATCTGTCTAGACCTAGGCGACAACCAGCCTCGTGATTTGTTGCTTGATGCATCAGGATCACACAGGGATCACATAAGCGAGGCAGTGCCGACATTTTCCAGTTCATACCTTCCGGAAGCCGGCGGGGTTTAGCAACAGATGTGTTTTAGCTTGTAGGATGCAAAGACCTTATTGGAGTTCATACGGCAGTAGTGAATCTTCAGAAAGAAAGCTAGCCAAGCCTTCTAACTCCTGGACAGAGACGGGTTCGCCGGCAACGAAGTTCCAGATCCGACTGCGTTCAGTCCCTGCGAAAGCAACGCACGAAAGAGCCTTCCTGCGCGAAACTTAGGGTTTTGGGGCCCATTGGCTATAATTACACTGAGGAGCCCCCAAAATAGTATAGGTAGTTATTTAGGCTCAAAGCCGGACAGGCGCCGCTTTGGAGGGCATTTTCGTCGGGAAACAAGTTGGCGAGGCCCTCGGTGGTTCCGAACTTACAGACTGGAGCAGTGCGAGGGCCAAGGGATATCCTGCATGTTCTGTCAATTTTCAGACTTAGACGGCTCTTTGCTTACCAGGTAGAGGGTTTCAGAGCCGTGCGCGCGGAACTTTCTGTTGCATGAAGCGGAAATCACAAGAGGAAGATCTTGCAAAAGGTAGTGTTGGCAAAGTCGGGAGAATCAGTAATTGCAGGTTCAATTGCACAGAAGCAGCAATCAGAAGACGTACTGAACACAGAGCTTTCACGAGAAGCCTCACGAAGACACAGTAGCAGCAGCAAGAAAGCTTCCGACTTTCACAGCCAAGCATGACACTCCTACCTGGCCATCAGGGACGGAACGGGCAACACTCCGTCTGTCTAGCGAAGGAAATCTTGTAGCATGAGAGCCTCTAAGGCAATGCATCGTGAGACAGACACGTGCTGGCTGAACGAAACCAAAGATGCATGAAGTGGGCTACCACATGCAGCAGTCACCGAGATTTTCCAATGCTCGAGTGCACTTGAAATTTGTGATCCGAGTCCGTTGCGCGGCGCAGCCTGCTTGCGCAAGTGTTCCCATACTAATTTTGTTACGGCGTGAGATGCGGGTTCGTATGTTGCAGGAGCTCTTCGAACACTGGCTCAGATGCAGGCTGGATCGTGCGGGATCACTGCGATGCAGCTGTCAAGAGCTTTTGCAGATGCGGGATGTTTGGATTTCTGACTTGGGCCCGGGGCCCCTGCCTTCATTCACAAGAGAATAAAACGTTGGTTGCAGATGATGCACCTGCTGCCCTACACATTTGCCGTATCCGCTCATGAGGTGAGCTTAGCGGCTTAGCGTAGCTGATTGATGGTATCGTCGGCTTGTGCCAAAGCAGGGCTAAGTGCACAAATCTTGCCTGGCCAGGGCATGGAAGCCAACCTGGCACCTTTCTTGGAGACCCGGGATTTGACATGTGTTTACCGCTATGATGGAGGCAAGCGGGACCTGTACAACGAGCTCATGAACAAGTTCAATCATCTCAATCCAGAGATCCATGAAGCCATCCATGTTCTTCAGCAGGTCTTCCGATTTCCAGCTCAGTTGTACTGCGGCAGCGAGGAGGGCGGTGATGCATGCTGTTTTGCGCACATCGTGCAGAAAACGCCGCCAGCAAAATGGTATGCTCAGTGCCGACGTCTCGAGGAGACTCTAAAGGGGCGCTTGAAACAACCTTCTGGAAAGAACATGGCGCCATTCGAGGTTATCAGGCAACTCCAGCAAGGCACGGATGGGTCTCGCCGCTTCACCGAAGAAATCACATGGTTGCGACAACACCTCGACCAAGTGTGCCAGCTTGCAAAGTCCCAGCTAACTTCAGCAACCTTGCGGACCACTGATGCAGATTTCCTGGATGTTGTTGCAGTGGCACAGACCTACGCTGAAGTACATAAAGGGCAAAGACACTTTCGGCCTGTGCAGCTTGCCACTATCCTGCTCAACGTGAGAGCTTCTGCTGCCATGTCATCCGTCCTGATTGAGATGAAAACCGGTGAGGGCAAGACCGACATGTGTGCTGCGGTGGCAGCTGTCCTGGCCAAGAGAGCTCCAAAACATGCCGTGCACATTCTCACCTCCAGCAGCGATCGCGCAAGTGATGATTGCAAGTCCACGAAGGCCTTTCTTGAAGCATGCACCGGCCGAGCACCGAGGCTTGCATCTGAAGGCCTGAAGTGGGGTGACGAGGGTAGTGGCGTGGTCTATGCACAGGTTACCGACATTCAGAAAATGGTGGTCGACGAGATGAGGAACGGCAAGAAGAAAGAGCTGTTCCAGTGGTTGGAGGATTGCTTCCTTCTTGTGGACGAAGCCGACCACGTCTTGATTGAGCAGTCTGAAAACCAACTCTACATCTCGAGCCCCTGTCGTGGTTTCCAAGCACTGGTCCCTTTGACCTTTTTGACATTGGCTTACATGGACTTCGACGCAGATTTCCAGGAAGCCTTTGTCAAGGATCCCATGGCAATCCCCGAAAAAAGTACTGCTCTGGCCAGCAAGTTGGTCGAGGACTCGGGTCAAGCAAGCTAAACCCTAAACCCTAAACCCTTAAAGGGACCCTAATCCCTAAACCCCTTAATCTGCGAGTTTCAGGGGACACTCTGCACTGCCAGCTCTGGCACGTCTGCTCCTGAGGAGTTGCGCAAGTTCGAGGGAAAGGGCAACCATGGGCGCTGGCAACACATGGCACCAGTGAAAGTTGACCAGGAGGCAGGGTGCCTGATCCGAAGTACAGTTTGAAGTAGTTGGCAGGGCTAAGGTGAGAGTTTCTTTGCAGAAAGATTGGCCACGAATCCCAACAGTCCTTCTGCTTTAGGGTTTGCATACACACTGCGCTTCGGTTTCATGTGCGGAAAGCGACAGTTTCCTCGACAAGTTGAGAAGCTTGCCCTGCAAGGCTTTCATTGCCAGCTTGGCACCCGGAAGTTTGGGTGCGAGACTGAAGGTTGCTGGGAAAGAGTTCGTGATTGAGAATCAGGACCCCGACTGCATTACCCCTGTTGATTTGAATGTGGGTTTGCTTGGTTTGGTTCTTCTGGTCATGCATTGCAGCAGGAGCAAAACGGCATCATCGTACCTCAAGTAGTAATCGTGGACATGGCAACCGGCACTGAATCTGTGGGAACCAGGCCGGTAAGCTGCAAAAGCGCCTGGTTCGGTTCATTCCCAGCTTTTCCCTGTTGTCGTTTGCGGCCAGGTGGACCTCCGAAGCGCCTGCCGTCGAGGCCCTGCATGCGCTGCCGGTCGGAGGCTCTGAGCCGCTGGCGTTCTTCAACTCGATTCCCACACTTGCTAGGAAATACAGATGGGTTGGTGGCACCACGGGCACCTTGGGTCAGAACCACTGCCTGGAGTTTTATGCGAAAGTCTACAATGCCAGAACGACTTTCCGCATGCCGCGTAATTCGCCGGGATGTATTTTCATGCTGCCTCCAGTCATCTCAACCACCGAAACAGAATGGCTTCGGAACATCCAGGAATCGGCAGAGAGATATCTCAGCAACGAGCACGGCTTGGGTGTGTCTGGCCCAGTGCTCGTTATCACAGAGAGCATCCTCAGGGCGGAGCAAGTGGTGGACTACCTCAAGGCGGCAGGCTATCCTATCATGAAAGCAGACAGCAGCAATGGCGAATTAGGATGGTCGTACGAGAAGCTCAATGGCAGGCTTAGAACTGGAAGTCAAGCACATGTCTTCCCTTTCTTCAAGTCCGACCATGCGGTGACGGAGAAGTTGCCAGACGCATCCATTGTTGTGGCCTCCAACAAGGGCGGTCGCGGCCTTGACTTGAAGCTTGACGGAAAGTGTCCTGCAGGTTGCTCCTTGGCGCATCCACACGCGCCAGCCACCGACGGAGGCAGCGTACTGTTCGTCATCCTCACAGAGGCCTTGAATGAACGCCAAGATGTCCAAGCTCGAGGGCGTTGCGGTCGCAGTGGAAAGCCTGGTGTGGTTCAGTATCAACTGTTCGTGGAAGATACGATGCCGCCAATGCCAGTTGGACACGTCGTGCAGGCGCATAGCTACCACATGCACTCTGCCCGCCATGATGTGTAGATCCTGCCGCTGTGTTTCAGGTGCAGAACAAAAAGGCAAAGGATGAATCCAACCATCTTCGCTCAAAGTCGCTGCGTGTCGCAGACATGGTCAAGGCCGGGTGGGGAGGGAAGTGAACAAGTTTTTTGGCCGAAGATGCATGCTGCTGTAGTATGAAGAGCTGCTTCAGAAGCAAGACTGACAAGGATGGGCGCCTGCTTGAGAAGTTCGTTGACTGGAAAATCACATACAAGAGAAAGTTGTTCAACCTCCTGCTTCCAAGAGAAGGCAAATTCAAACTTGAAGGTTCCTTCCTGCCTGAGCTGGAATTCAAGATGAACCGTTTTTTGGAGGAGCTCCTGGTAGAGAGGTGGGCTTATTGGAGAACCATGGGCGAGCCATGGCGCAAGACGGATGACACTGTCCACCATTTCCAACAGAGGCGGGGCATTCTGCATACGAGTTGGTTTTGAGGTTTCAGACATAAAAAAATGCCGGATGTAGGTGTTTAGGTGGTTTCAGGTTAAATTTGCAGTTTTACGGTCACGAAGGCTTTTGCTTTGATTTTGCGTAGTTTCATGTGTTGCGAAGTCAGCCGCTAGACACAGCTTGCTCTGCACAGTTTCGAGTCCTTCCCACGCTTTTGAGGCAAGTTCTTGGAACTGTCACGAAGCTTGACTTCGGCGATGGTGCGGGAGAGAGCAAGGCTACTCATGGAAGCATGTCGTTTTGAGGATCTCTTTCCTTAACGGTTCAAGGAAGGATATTCAAAGTTCTTTTGCGAAGATCAGCATCTCACTTGACAATTTCCGGGAAGGATCGCATGTACTTACAATGTAAACTCCTCGCATCACCCGAAAAGGTTCGTGCTTTTGCGACACGACTCTGGAACCTGGCGGCGCAGCTTCGCTTAGATGCCGAGCAACTCATGGCTCTTGCCTTACAGCTCCTCCCGCTCCAGGACCCCATTGTTCTGTAGCACAGCAGTGGTCGCCGTAGTTCTGGAAACGACATTGTGCCCGCTTCCCATTCTCGACCCCAGAAGCTTTGCGTGCATCCCGCATTCAAAGGAGCATGACACGAGCTTTGCCTGGATCGCCCGTGATCTGTTGCGGAAGGCTCCTGCTGTTGCTTGCATGTTTTTTCAAACAAAGGGGAAAGTCTTGATGACCTACACAGAACCGCAGCTGTCGCTCTGTTGCATCCATGAAAAGTGCTACATGGGAGGCCGCCTCAACAGCGGGTCCATGGCCGCTGCAGGATGGCGAGCACTGGCAGGCCGAATGGACCGGCAATGCCGCGCTGCTCCTGGCAAGATTGCAGGTGCCACTTTGGGTTCAATCGGAAGGGCTCGGATTCCTGAGATAAAAGGGATCAATACAAGGTTTCAGTCTTACTGCTCACTGTTCACTCGAGAACCTGACTCGTGTTTCTGCTGCTACCGCTCCTGCTGCTGCTCCTGCTGCTACTGCGCTACTACTATTACTACTACTACTACTCCTCCTCCTCCTACTACTACTACTACTACTCCTACTCCTACTGCTACTCCTACTGCTACTGCTACTGCTACTGCTACCACTACCACTACCACTACCACTACCCCTACCCCTACCCCTACCCCTACCACTACCACTACCACTACCACTACCACTACCACTACCACTACCACTACCACTACCACTGCCACTGCCACTGCCACTACCACTACCACTACCACTACCACTACCACTACCACTACCACCACCACCACCACCACCACCACCACCACCACCACCACCACGACTACTACTACTACTACTAGTCCTACTCGTATTGGTGTTCTTGCTACCACCACTGCTCCTACGGCTGCTCCTACTGCTACTGGTACTGACTCCTGCTGCCACGGCGACGACGACGACTACTAGCTGCTACGGTTGGTGCAGCTACTCATAATGCAGCTTTTGGTGGTGCTGCTGCTGCTACTGCTGTTCATGCAGCTGCTAGTACTGCGGCAAAGGCAACCACGACAATTGAAACCATCACCGCAAGCACCGTGACAATTACCAAACTTGCGTCCGAGTGACCGGAACCAACATAGCACGGTCGTAAGATGCAATGATTGTATTGAAAAACGCATTCACCCAATTCCGCAAGTTGTCGTGGGCACATGGCTGGGAAAGTGGATTTACGACTTACATAGCTGCAGGATTCAACACTCAGGCGGGAGTTTTCTCCGCAAGACTTCATTGTTCGCAAGACTATCTCTTGGTACCCTTCCTCGTCACACACGCATGCATCCAGCCCGGAGCTCCATCCTCTCTGCCAGCAGGTTGGGCTGGGCGGACACGATGCGCACCAAGAGTTGCAATCCAGCGTTTGTCGCTTGGAGCACTTGGCAAGTTCCCTCAAGCTGGGAGATGACAAGTTCCACGACTTGGCGAGAAGGCAGGGGCACGCGTATCCAAGTGTCGTCTTGCAACAGCACAAGCGTGTCCGCAAGTACGAAACAAAGTATGGTGTCCAGCGCAATGAGATGCTGCGGCAGATTCGTCACCGCATTAGGAAGCTGGAGCAAGCCCAATCCCAACCTGAGATGCTTTCCTTGCAACATCTGTCATCGCTGGAGACCTCATTACAATCACGGTTATACCTCCTCGGGTACACTTGGGCCACAACTGTGTTCGAGTTCAATATTGCCGATGGCGAGCCGCTTGCAGCCATGGATGAGGACACCCACACCTGGTTGCAGGACAGGTCTGTAAGCGCAAGTAAGTAGGCAAGTCGCAGGAAGCGGTCCGAGACATGTTAAGCCTTATGACATCGTCGTGCCGGCCTTTGTGTGACAAGCAAGCTGACGCGAGCATTGTCAAGGTTGATTCTGCAAAACGAAGTCGGTTAGCACATTCGAGTCTTTGTGCTGTCCAGCTGAGATCACAACGTGAATCATCATGGCAGGTTTTCTAGTAAATGAATCTTCAACTGGCCGCAACAGCTTGTCTCTGAACTCATGTCAGGAGGTAGATGCACTGGCTCGGGCAAACGGATCCTCCAGATCGCTTGGGGCCAGCGCAAGCGGAGGTGGATCAGGAGGAAACACGGAGGCCGATCTGCTCATGAAGTCTCGACCGCAAGTTGCTGAAGCCGCTTGTGACATGCACACCCCAGTAGTAGATGGTCATGGCCCTACATTCAGGTGGACTGTGGTCCGTTGTCGGATTGCCGGCTGGCTGTCTGGTGAGATGTAACGGCATGAAAAGCCAGTAGCGGGATAAGCATGGTTTCCACAGCGCAAACCGCATGCAGGTCAATGCCCAGCAACGCGCGACAGAGTACCAGAACCGTGGAAAGCGATGTGAAGATGCGCTCAGCAGTTTTCAGCAGAGGTCCTCGTCATTGGGCACGTCGCGCGCGCATCGCGAAAGCAGCTCCGTCGTACAGTCTTGGAGCCCGACTGCGCCATCGGCAGCAGCAGTCGCTCAGCCTGCTGTGGACAACAAGGGCATTTTTCACAAGTTCCTGGACCGCCTGGGCTCTCCAATCGTGCTTTTTGCCGGCCGTGTGCGAACATCTCGACAGAACTTGGAGATGCCAGCAGCCGTACAGTTTGACGGTCACGTTCGCAAAAAGAAAGCGGAGGAGCTCCAGGAGCAAGCTAGGAGAGCATCCCGCACCAAGGACCAGTTAGAGTTGCTTACTCGCTTCTCAATCCGAGCTTGTGGCTTACTTTGTTGATGTGTGCTTTGGGGCTTCAGAGGGATGTGTAATCCATTCTGATGAGTTTTTTTGTAATGGAGGACAAGAAAGCCCTGCTAAAAGCCTTCGATGCCGAGCTCGAAGCAGAAGTAGCTGGCATCCTTCCGGAGTTTACTGAGGCGGCATTGGTGGTTTAGGTCTACAGTGGGAGTGGTGAGGGTTTCCGGGAGATGCAGTTCTCTGGTCGAATCAGAAAATGTAAAGAGGGTTCAGATTGGTTTGTTTGGAGTCTGCATCCCGTTAAGTAAATAACGGGGTTGCAAGTGGTAGGCACCTGGCATGCAAAGGGTTCTCAAGCTGTGGAATCACAGTTTGCAAGACATCGTGGTAGATACGGCAACGGTTGACCACCTACTCTACCTCAGCTGTCGAAGTTTTTGTCGTTTCTTGCCCATATTCTCGGCCTCCTGCTTGCTCCTTCTTTGCCATCTGCTGAATCTGCTGCTGCTGCTGCTGCTGCTGCTGCTGCTGCTGATACCACTACTGATACTACTACTACTACGACGACGACTACTACTACTACGACGAGCACTACTACGAGTACTACTACTCATATTATCATGCGTACTGGTACTGGTGCTGGTCCTACAACAACAACAACTACTACTACTACTACTACTACTACTACTACTACTACTACTACTACTACTGCTACTACCATCACTACTAATTGTACTGTTCGGACTGCTACTGCACTGCGACTCGGCTGCTACTGCTACTGACACCACCACCGCCACCATTGCTACTGCCACTGCTACTTCTACTTATGCTTCTGCTTCCACTTCTAATACTTTAATACGACGACTACTACGACGACCACTACTACGACTGCCACGGCGACCACGATTATGACTGCCATGACGACGACAACGACTTCGACTACTCCTGTTCCTGCTTGCGTCCTCCTACTCCGACTCCAACTCCGACTCCAACTCCGAGTCACTCCTGCTGCAGTTGCTTCGCCTGCTATTTCTGCTACGGCGGTATTTCTCTCGCTCCTGTTGCGTTGCACATGGGCAAGGCTGTCTACCGCAGAGAGCGCATCAGTGAAAGAAGCAGCATGGAAACCTCAAGAACCAGCGAGGAAGTGCTCCATGACGGACAGAGTCGGAACGAGAAGAGCCGCTCGAAATTGCTCGAAGAAGCTGATGCTGAGGCTGGTCACCAGGTTTTTGCGCGCGATCCTGGGATGAGCGACGCAGAGCACTATCTGGCGTCACATGCTCTGAAGGCCATCGGCGAGTCGGCGAGAAGGTCGAAGAGGGCGAGCTTCCGGAGCTTGCGAGCGCGTGGGGCAGTATCAGTGAGGCGATCCAGCAATGGAACCACCACTGTAAGTCAACAGCAGCAACTGGGGGGACCATCGATCAGGAACAGGCCAGAGCCGTCACAGAGGCGTACCGCAAATTATTGCGGCTTTCTTTGGAAGTAGCGCAACGCCACGGCTCTCACATGTACCTCATTATGCCTGACTGGTACAAGACCATGTGGGAGAACTACGAGGCTGCCATCAAGCCACCACCCGTGCACGAAAGGGTCTACCAAACGGTTAAGGAGACGATTGAGACAGTTCGGGAAGCGGCGGTGACGGTATGGGAGTGGGTGAAGGAGGCGGCTAGCACCGTGCGGGGCTGCATCAAGGCGCCGTTCCAGACAGTCATTCAGGCACGAAAAGAAACTGTTTGGTTTAGGACAGTCTTGCCTCGGACGTGAATCTTGAATAAAGCCTTGCGCGTGCTGCAGTCAAACTACCCATGCATTGTGTTCGCAGAAGGTGGCTAAGCGAGCGGCGAAGACCGTCGTCAATGTAGTCACGACCGTCGTGGAGAAAGATGTGGATGTGACCCCCCAATGGGTCCGAGATGCATATGCGGCTGCGAAGGAAGGCTTGGCCCGCGTGACCAGCACCATCAGTCAGTGGTGTAGCAGAGCTTGGATCACCGCGAAGAGTTCATTCGTGGGGCACACGTTGGCAAGCGTGCGGCGCGCTATGTCTCAAGCATTCGGGGCAGCATGGCGTTGGATGAAGGAGCAGCTTCACAGCATCAAGATGTACGTGGAACATGCCTGGAGTCGTCTACAGCAAGCTGTAGCTCACCTGGTCGATGATTGCATCGCCTTCTTTCAGAGGCACATTCCACAATGGCTGCAACGCGCTGTGGTGGACTTTGTCAGTTCTGCCTTGGCTTGGCTAGGCGCTGTTGCAGCATGTGTCTCTGATGCCTGGAACAGAGTCAAGGCTTTTATGGCAGAGTATTCCCGCCAGTGGCCCCAGTGGATGAGAGATTTGATTAAATCGACGAAGTTTGTTCTGTCTCGCTTGACACAGGCTTTGTACCTTGTTGCGGAAAGCACAATCGGACAGGTGCTTGACTGCATTTTTGTTCGATCAAGGGCTTAGGCCGACATTGCCCGCTTCGCGATGTGGGGAAACAGTGAAGTCGTTTCGACTCGTCATCAGATGTTGCTCTTCGATGCTGAGCAAAATGCACAGGGTATTTCTGACCAGCGCATGCGACGAAGGTCAGGTTTGCAGGCCGTGTGGCAGTCAGGTTGGATGGCTTGGCATTTTGGCTGGGATCCGTCTCTGCAGCTCAATCTGAACACTGGCTTGTCGGAAGTGGGTCAGTCCCGGCAAGACAGAGCCAATCAGGACTTTCTGCAAGATCATCAGGAGTCTATGAAGAAGTGGTCTTACGGCCTAGCAGTGCTCGGCCTCACTGTCGGCATCCTTGGCTTGCTTGTCACATTTGTCACCGCAGGCATGGGTACCTTCATCTTTGTCACTCAAGCTGTCAACGTCGTCACAGCTGCAGGGAGCCTGGTACTAATGCATTTGCAGGAGCTTGCCCAGGAGGATTCCACACTCACGGAAGAAGAGAGGCGGGAGAAGCAAGACATGCTTTCACTTTGCCAGGGCATCCTTGGTATGGTTGGCCTCGCTACCTTCGCCTTTGATTTCTTCAAAGGCTTTGCTGCTTCACAGGTAGCTGGCGGACTTGCAGCTGGAGCCGCTCAGGCTGTGGGAATGCAGCGGCTGACTCGGATTGCAGGCCTTGTTCGCGCCGCTATGCGGCTTGGCGGGCAGGGTCTTCGGGTGTTGCAACTTCCGGCCCTCCTGCGCACTGCGGACCGCGTTCTTGCAGCTTTTGGCCTCAACGGTGCGCGTCTTGCACAATTGGGCATGACGTCACGAACTCGAGTGCGGGTTGTCATTCTGGAACTGGTCAACGGTGTGGCCATTGGGCTAAGATCCTTCCTCAACACGATGCAGCACCGGGAGCAATCAGGTGCGCAAGAGCGAGATGACCAGAAAAAGCAGCACGAAAGCACTGCAGGAGCTTCAGTGTCAGAGGAGACGACTGCAGGAGCCTCAGAGGAGACGACGCAGACGGAGGAAAGTTGTGAGATGACGGATGGCTCCAAGTGGGAATGGATAGATCAGTCTTCCGATCTCAACGCCGTGGTAGAGACGTCGGAGGAAGCTTCCGAAGAGAGCCAGCTTGCTGCCTCCCGTCGCCCTGCCAAGCGCAGTCAAGCCTCGCATGAGCGTCTGCGGTATGCCCCTTCCGGTGCACAGCCTGTCGATGTGTGGTTTGAGGGGACCGAGCGGCAGACAAGTCGCGACTTGACGGAGTCGGAAGAAGAGCTACTCAAAAATGTGAAGAGTGAGGAGGCGGGGCAAGGGACGGCAAGGGGGTTGCTTCTGGCATGTTCATGCAGCTGCTGCACGCTAATCCTTCTGATGTTGCTGTGTCTGTGTGTCTGGTACAGAGTCCGTGCCGTCGACAGGATCTGCGAAAGTTCTTCGAAAAACAGCAGGCCAAGTCGAAGAAGAAGTCCGAGCAAAGTCGAAGCAGCAAGTTTGAGACCCGCACGCTAAGGGATGGCTCAAAAAAAACCGTGGAGACAGAGCGCCACAGAGGCGGGCATGGAGGGGACGACCACATCCAGGTGCAGAAGAGCCAGGTGCTCGGGCAAGAAGGATCTGAGCTCGAAATCAAAGTGGAGACCCGAAGTACGAAAGGCATTCTCAATGAAAGCAAGCTTGTCCTCCACACCAGTGCCAAAGACTCGAGGATCACCGGTACAGCTTTGTCCGACGATGCCACCAAGCTGTTGCTCAAGAAGCTGGGCATTCCTCGGGACAAGGTCATCATCAAAGGCGGACAAGCCAGAGCCAAGGAATGGGACGTAAACCCCGACTCGCGCCCTGGATCCTTGCCTGGAGTGGACCGGAAGAATTCAGGATCAACAAGCTGGGAGAGCCTAATCCAGACCGTTCTTTACCTGCAGGCGGGGATTTGCCACATTAGCATTGACGCTGGCAGTTGGCTACAATAGCAGTTCCCACCAGAAGCACGCTTTGCTTTGCGCTTTCTGATGGCAGGAGCGAGAGAAGGGCAAGAGCCCGGCGGAGGCCGGATCAGCTTCTGGAGGCCAGAAAGCGCAGGAGGCTGCTGCAAAGGTGATGGGATCTCTTTTGGGGCCGAAGGTGAAACCCTCTGCGAACTTGGGTCGCGAACAGATGGAGCGGCTTGGCTACGAAGACGGAAAGGACTTCGTGATTCATGACGGCAAAGTTATGCCGAAAGGTCGTGAAAGAGGCATGGAGAGCAAAGGCCTCCAGGAGTCGGTCCTCTTCACCGTGGCTTATCTCCAGGCAAAGAAGAGCCATGGTGATGAGCAGGCAATGCGAATGGCAGAGAGCCCAGGTGCCGAAAAACTCGTTTATGCTCGCCTCCAGGATTTTGGTACGACTCGCCGCTCTGAGTTTGAGGAGGTGGAGAGACCCAGTTGGGAAAAGAAGGTCCTAAGAGTCATGGATAAGGTGAAGAAAAAGTTTGGCTGTGACAGCAAACAAGCACACTTAGCCCATCAGCTTTCTTTCGATGTAATGATGGAGAAGGTCGTGGTGCTCGTTCGAAACGGCGATGCCAAAGGATTGGAGCACTTTGTGGTTGAGTTCGTCAAGAATAACAATACCCTCTTGGAGGACATCAAGGTCAAGGACGACCCGGAGCTTGAGAGCGATATGGAGGTGATCCTTAATGAGCAGCAAGAGTACATTCAACACAAGCTTCTGTCAGTTCTTTTGGCTATGCATTCTACGCAGAGCGACGAAGAGTTGCATCGTGAGGTCGAAGAACTGCTAGAGCACATGAACAGCTGCTTGGATTTGATGAGCTATTTGGCTTTCCGGTTGGGGTAATGGTTTTTAGGGTTTTAGAGCGCAGGGTTTGGGGCTTCAGCCTTTTAGGTGTAGGAATTGGGGGAGTTTAGGATGTAGGGCTTATATATTACTTATATCATATGCGAACCAGGTTACCGTGATTAGTGAGCTATGTGAATGCGGCAGGTGGTCAAAACACGAACCCCGGCAGTTTCGACAGTGCACAGGAGAGGTACTAATGAGAGGGCAACCAGTCCTTCAACACCTCAACGCGAAAGGCAGTCTTCTTTGATGTGTTGCTTCTTTTGAGTCACGCTTCAGGTTATGTGGGCAATCTTCGGCCCGGACATGGCCCAACGAATCAATCCATTGGGAGAGGCAACGACCTGAAGTTTTACCCAGACGGCAGCGTGACACCTAGAAGCCAGTGGATCCACAGATTTTTCCAAGAGCATACCCGTCGGGACACGAAGTCCGGAAGAGTAGCGTCTTCTGTGACGGATCCTCATAACAGGTACGAAGGTACCTTGCCAAACTAGGTGGCCACAGCATCTTGCCAATATGCTTTCGCCTAGGCCCTGCCAGACTGCACTCACAGCACATCTCTTCCACCGGAAGGCCTGCATGATCCAGGTTATCCATGAAGCACAGAATGCACAGTAATTCGTCCAGTCTGTGTACGATTTGGCAGTGGGCTGGAAACCGTGCAAATGTGAATGGCGCTCGCAGAAAAAGTCACGACAGGCAAGAAGCCGAACTGTCACATCCAAGACGAGCATGTTGAGACATGTTGAGACCTGCGCCATCAGCCTTCCATGTTGAGAGTCCCCGCCTATTTGAAGCTGTTTCATGCACGCACGTCACTTCGCCCAACTTCTGGCTGACGTGCCTGCTTGAGGTGCTGCATGGTGCTGCCTTGCCCAGGCGTCAGAGCTTTGGGTGAGGCATCAAGCACACTCATGAGTCAAGATCTGCACCTATGCCTCAAGCATACAAAGCCGAGCTGAGCGAGTGATCTCAATCTCGCCCGTGTTCCCACTCGCGGTTTGTCCTAGTAGTAAAGCTCCTACGGATCGGCAGTTTGGAGGTAAGGGGCTGCGTGTGTTTCCGACCCCGAGGCCTGGCATAGAGAGAGAGAGAGAGAGGGAGCAGCGAAAAAAGAAAGCGCAAGAGAAAGGCAACGCCAAAGGGCAGGGGAAGGGTCAATACTTAAGGGAGTGCGAAAGGAAAGGGCATGCGACATAGAACGGAAGCGGGCCACGGCGGAAGACAAATGGACAGCGGAAAGGCAAAGTGGGGCGCCATGCCAAATCGAGGCCGTAGAAAAATGGAAAGGCAACGTGAAAGCACCATGAAAATCGAATCTCACGGCGACATGGGAAGAGCTGAGGCAGACGCTAGGCTTGTTTTTGATTTGTCTTCGCGCATAGCTGCTTTGCAGCTAATGACTCTCGAAGATGAGCTCACGCACTCTACTTCAAGGCTTCAGAAGCCCAACATGTTTCGCTTCAATATCTCGCATATCGCAGACTCTGTACCCTTGCAGGTTGTGAATGAGGGCCCTTTTTTGGTCAGTGCGGGGTCCCATGTGGCCCATGATGTTCGCGATGGAGACGTCGGGAAAGAGACGCCCTGCAGCGTGTCTTTGGGGCGCAGCACTTTGCACTGCATTTGGCCACTAGAGCCGCAAAAGCCTGCTGGCAGTACTACCGTTGATCATATAAGTCCTGCATTACCTTAAGGACCCTAAACTACGGGAATTATGGTATATTTGTTATTATGGGTAATGCGGGATTTATATCATCAACCGTAGCAGTACTAGCAGTGCCGAGGGACACGGTTCTACGCAACGACCGCACTACGGTTAAGACGAGGCAGGCAAACAGATCATCTGAACTATAGACTGAACATAGTAGCGAAGCTGGAGACCTGAACAGCGGCAGATGACCCAGAGATGACCAGGGCCGGTGCAATTGCTACATGTTCGGAGTACCATAGTGACCTAAACCACAGCTTGTAGTTAGGCAGGTACGTCTAGACATAGATGGATAAAGATCCGGCATGTATATATGCGCTGAGCACAATCCTGTCAGGCTTCTCGCATTGTGCAAGGGCCAAGCCCTAGACGTGCTTCTGTCCGTTCTCGTCACGTAAGGGTTTGGGATTTCATCTTCGTCAGTTTCATTCATCAGTGAAGCAGCCGCTTGCTCAAAGCCTGTGTCCAGAAACCCTCGAACAGCCAACCCCGAGCTCCAAGCACCGACTTTGATGGCTGCGTCTTCAAGCCTAGCAGCTGTCATGGCTTGAACTTTGACAAATGGTTGCAAAGCCTTCGCCACTTACTCTTAAGCCCTGAGCCCCGGCTTGGCCTTCCTGTGAAGCTTCCAACATGTCAATGGCCTCAAGCTTCACCCGCCTCAGCCTCAAGCTCCTGTGCTTGTATATTCAGAAGCTCAGCAACCATGGCCAAAAATCCTAAACCCGAAACCCTACTTAAACCCTAAAGCCTCACCGGTGACCTCATGGGATCGCATCTGGCGCGATTCTGGTCGCTGCTTGCCGGGCTCTGTATCCTAGGCGGGAAAAGGGCACACTAGAGCCCAAGAACAGGACTAATTCCCTGAGCGTTCCGAGAAGGCATGAGGGCTATGCGAAGTTTTGTGTAGGGCCTTCGCATCAGAGCACGGCTCATGCAGCAGTTCAACTTGACGAGACATGCACAGGCGAGTTTGGCGATGGACCCATCTCGTCAATGTTTTCTCCACCGGAGCCTTCAAACCCTACTTGCAGAGTACGAAACCTAAACCCTCCTGTTGCGCAGGGTCTGCTGCCGGCGAGGATTGTCCGCTGCTGCTCGCCAGGTCAACGCTTGCCGGCGAATCTGGGCGGCAAGCGCCCTCATGTGGTTAATCAGGGCAAACTCGAATAGGGTTCCTTATCAGTTCCACAAAAATGGCTATTATGGGAGCCTTAAGAAGTTGAAGAGGGGCTTATAGACTTTGTTTTAGGTATGGTTGCATAGGTTTTGGAGGGTCTTCGTATCATGCAAGGGCCAAGAAGCAGAACAGGGTCCCCTTGAAGGCACAAGATCCGAAATAACTTCCCCTACCCAGAACCCAAGTCAACCCACAAAAGCAGAAGACAGAAATTGCACAACGCCAAGAGTATTTACAGTTAAAGTCCGAAAGCCGTAAAGCATTTTCTGGGGTTGCAGTTTGGTTGTTTTCTGACTGTCGGTTCTTCTTGTTTCACTCGCTTGGCCTGGACTGTCCGAGTTGTGTGCGCCAAGTACCGTAAAGCCAAATGCCACATACCAAAAACATACCCTGCAATGCGGGCTTCGCCTTGCTAGGTAGGAGGGAAAAGTATACCAAAACCCCGAGCAGACCGGATCGCAAACCTCGACACCCGGAAACCCCAAGCCTCAAGATCCTAACAGAAAGCCTTAAACAAACTTTGTAGACTTAGTCATACTCTTGCTGAGGGCTCCTTGTCGTTATGATGCCTGGTAGACACTACTTCAAGAGCCAAGCAGACTGAAACCTAAAGCCGGACCTCGAGCCCGAATATCGGGGCTTGAATCCTTGCCTGGGTTCTTTCTCGTAGTGTAGAGTCTACCCCAAACCCTATTCCAGTGGTGAAGGGCCCCTATCTTAAACCCTAAACCCTAAAGGCCCCACGAAAACTCCCTGAACCTGAGGCCGGCTCGGGCATTTTCGCTGGAAGGAACTTTTCCAAGGGTGAACTGCCACCTGTCCCTTTTACGCCTATATTTGTAATTCCTGCTGCTTCCTTTTGAAGCTGCCCTTCAAAAATCGTGCAGGGTCCTAGGATTGACGAAGGTAGTTTCAAATATTGCTTCGGTAGGGCGTTTGGGGGCGCCGTTCCTAAACTAGAGTTCCCACGGATGTTCACATGTCTGCAGCAGCGAAGTACTACCGGACTTCGAACTGACCGGTAGGTCGAGACAACTTGTGAACCCGCCCAGGTGTTGGGGACATGTCGGGACATGAGTTCGATCTGGGTTTACGCTCGTTGTCGTCGTCGTCGTCGTCTTCGGAAGCCAACCTTTGTGGTAGCAACACGGTTTGGGATAGTATTTTTGTGAAAATGCCTGAGCAAGTTCATGATGAAAGTTGTTCTGAGGCTGGCGTACTCGCGCGAAGTCCGAGTGCCTCGAAAGAACCTTGAGGCAACGCAGGCCTGGAACTACGCCCCTTGCCTGCAAAGTTTTCGCCCTAGACCCTACAGTAGGCCACAAGATTTCGAAGCTTAGCCTCTACTAGCCTCGGCCAAACCGCCCAGACGTTCCTCTTCCTCAAAATATTTCCGGCGGCCCTTGATCGGCCTAAGACCTCAAAGCCCCAATCCCCAAGCCCCATACACTACACCGGTATACCTCCGGTTGCTTTTACCATACGGCTGTTTATCTCGTACCATACTATACTATACATTATGTTAAATATCCCCCCCAGAGCCTGTCCTCGAAGATGGACGGAACTGAGCCGAGGCTTTCCAGCTGGGTGAGGATGACGCGATCGCGTCGCTGCTGCTGGGGACCCTGGGTTCGTGTTTTTTGATTTTTTGCAGCTGATTTTGGCAAAGCTTTGTAAGAATTCTCCAGGGTTTTATATACAAGTGCTTCGTAAGGTTTGCATCAGCATCTTTCTCAGGGTTTTATGAAGGTTCAGGAGCTTTTCCACACGCCACAATAGGGACATGTCGTTGATAGCGTTTCTTCCATATACATACAGGGTAACTTAAGGACATCTCCTGAACACACGTGTCCAGGACCGCCTCCATCTTCAATCATGCAGAGGCTGGCCGGTATGAGAAAAAGAAGTCCCGATGTTTCGGGGATGAATTTTTTCGTGTAGAGCCCGATTGACCAAGCTTCATTTCTTAACCTTAGGACCGCTGTTACAATCCTCTCAAGAAGAGGGTTATTAATTGATCAGACGATTACATTACATATCGCTGAGTCACGAAGGTATCCTTACAGAGATGTGCCCTCTGTTTTCGCTTGCAAACACATCCCAGATCGCCCATGCGCAGCCACTGTGCTGTAAACCAGTTGTCTGCGGCTTGCATGGTTTGACATTTTGAGGAACTGAGAGCTGCCAAAGCTAGGCCGCACAGGATAAGGGGTCCATCAGGTGCGAGAGCCCAGACAAAAGAAGATATCTCTGATCGAATCAGCATACTTTCCTGTTAATCTTCATCTTGTGCCTCTACAGGATCGGCACTTCCTTGCTCATGCGCACACATTACGTGTATCCGTGTTTGTATGCGCACATTAGCACAGGAATGGACCTGAAAGTACAGCTCCACAGACTCTTCCCAAGATCGCGAGGCTGACAGGGTCAACGTCCGCATGTCGCGAGTGAATGGGTCGATGATCCGGGTGGTGACAGACCGCGCTGTGCAGGCAGTCCTGCATCTGTTGGGGAGTTTAGAAGCTTTCGGATCTATCTTGGAGATTTCTGGGGTATAGGTGCATGGTGGTCTGCGCACTAGGAGTCCGATGTTGCTTGGGTTA